TGAAATTTCCGTCGAGATTTTTAAATTAGTGGTACTCTCTCGCGAAAAAGAAGAGCCTTGACTTCTCCAAAGAACCTTCCTCCGTGAGCACAGGAAACCAATAATTCAGAAAACTGCGATGATGCATCTCTCTTGGCAATAAACTTTTATGTTTTGCTTCCTGCACACACGCCACCGCAAATGAATGTTGGCAAAAACAAATAAACATTCCGATTTATTACTTGTTGCAAAAGGAGCCTATTTTTTGGTAGACGAAATATTTATGGCAAAATTTTATTGCATTTCGAATCATCATTTGGAATGCTCAGTAACAATGACACAATCAATTCAGCAATAGGCACGAAGTTGCCTTATACGTCTTTATCACCTTATTATAAATTATCTTTAAAGATACACAATGCAATTATTGTCTTTCATGTACAGTACGTGACATTGCCCTGGTAATCGTAACTATATTTTACATTTTTCACTTCAACCACCTGGTCCCCAGCTTGCACTTGAGAAACGCCAAAACCAAATTTTTTTTAATTGTTTTGCTTATAATTATTACATTTAATAATTTACATTGTAAATTTTTTCCATCTACAAAATAAATATTATAATATGAATAAATAGTTTAATAATATTGTACAGCAGTAAAAAAATTTAACATAATTTTTTGTTGAAAACTTCGCTTCTGACAGAATGGGTTTAGACCTATATTTTATTGAATAATTTGATGAATTAGAATTTTATCACTTTAATGTCTTGCACTCTGAGATGCCTTTGATGAAACACTTTCGATGAATTCCATCACTGTTCCTTTTAAGGCACAAGTTCGGTCACACACCCATCTCGTTTTTCTCACATAATGCAGAGCAGAGCATACAGGCCCTGGCCTATTTACGAAAATCGAGGGCTTGTGAACTTCGACCATTGTAGCCATATGGCGCACGCGGTCGCAATTCATTTATTTTGAAAGAGCGGCGCTCTCCAAAAACTCATCAACTCCTTTATGAATAATAAAATAAGTTGATCTCATTTCGCGTCTTGATTTCACTATTGTAACGAGAGCCGCTCATCAAAAATCATCAAAGCAAAAATTTTCAACCGTGCAACAATGGAGCTCTCTACTCTGATGATTTTCTAGTCTTTTTTTATTGCATTATGGAATGCACTGGATTTTTATTTAATTAGCAAAGAGAGCCGAAAATTAATTCAAATGAGGAGCCATTGAAAATTTCTCCCTCGCTTTTTTGCTTTCTCCAACTCGAATGATCTACAAGACGCTATGGGAAAGATTTTGCACCTGGCCACAGAAAACTTATCTAAATAAGTTTGGAAACGTCATAGTTTGAAAATCAAATCCCTCCTTCCCACAGGTATGAGAATTACATAAAAGCAGAGCGGTTTTCCTTATTAAAGATTGGTGGCCAATTAAGTTCGCTCCACCAATTTGATTCATGATTTTGCTATTATCAAATTCGTGGAATCCCATCTACTTGAATTCGATTCAAGGAAAATCCTGAACAGATATTCAAAGTTCCAAAATCAGCACGTTGATAATTCTGCCTTTTGGCCTCAGGTCACTAGCCGTCTTTGAACTTCTCCAGTATCGAGATCACACCTTGATAAAGTTGCAGTGCAAGTCTCAATTTCTCTCATAGGAGGCCGTGATCTCTGCAGCAGTCTCGTTTTCAGCTCCAGCGCCGATTTCACCTCTTAGCAAAAAACACGCATTATTTATTACTTTTCATTCAGTCTCCCGTAATGGATTTTCTTTTGAGCGGTGGTCAAAATATATAATATTTAAATGCGCAGTTTCTCTCCGGCACGCAAATAATATTTTCATTCGCCACTAGGCAAACAGTTTTATAACATCGATTTTGTTTTTATTAAAACGGCGCTGGGTTTTTGTTTCCTCGTGCGTAGAACATCCAGTTGTCAAGGTTAATATCACTTTGGGAAAGTAGGCTCGTCTGGCGACGTTGAGAAACAAACCTTATTCGAGATGCATTTCATCTTTCTTTGTTCAAAAAGAAAACAAAGCTAATGATGCAGTGAGAGAGAATTGTATATTTATTGTTGCATTGCGGTTTGCTCGCATTGAATTTGGTGGCGAGTCGGTTGTTGAAATTCGCTCTGATTAACAGTTGAAGCCTTGTAAAAATAGTGCATGAATTTTTTTTCCAGCTCGAATAAACAACAAAACTTGACAATAACAGCAAGAACTGCACGTGCGTGATATGACAATTGCCTAAATCACATTCCACAGAGCAAGAGATTCTTTTTATGTTGTCTCTGTAAATAAAAAAAAGTGCCTTTTATTTTTAAATTCATACTTGCTTAACTGTGTCAACTCGTGATACGTGACTGACCTGTGGAAATTTCAAAAAGTAATCGAGAAAATAAAATGAATTCCTTTCGAGGAATCTTTTTTCTTTGTTTATTAGAAATGTTGTCCTTTCCTCAGTAATTTAATCGTTGTCTGGAGAGTAAACTAATCAATTTTTTTTTTTTTTTTAGAGAACGAGTGATAACAGTAATAAAACAGGTTTTAAAATTTTCTAATATCGACATTTGACACATGAGAGGCAAACGATGATTTTTTTTTTCACTTTCACACTTAAAAAAAAGAAAACAGAGGAAAAAATAGCTTTTAAATATTACAAAATATTATTAATAGTTATTTCTTATTAATTATATTTAAACTTTAAAATGACTTTTACAAATTCTTTTGCAAATTGAATTTTTATTTTTAACTTTTTTCTAATACATTTCATAATTTTTTTTTTTTTAATTATTCAAACTAGAAAAAATAACGCAATACTTTTTTTCGATTTTTTTAATCAGTTCCGTCATAAATGCTAGCAAAAATATTAAATATCTATATTAGAATTTATATTCACTTGATTTTAAACAACATATTTGGACTTTAAGCAGGAGATTGCTGCAAATTTAATATTCTAAAAAATATGAATAGTTGTTTTGAAGAAGTGCCTCGTCAAATTTTAAATCTCTCACTTTTGGACAGGATGTTGTAATTTTTGTAACGCTTTTCTTAAATCTTTGAACTGTTGTAATTTGGTATACTAAATTTGTAATTTAAGAAGCACTTGTAAAAAATTTTTTGACATATCATTGCAGAGAATGTCTTCAGAGAAAATGAGCAAACGCAAAAAGAGTTAAAGTCTACAGCGGCGTGAAATTACAGCAGCTTCGGAACACGCGAGATTTGTACGTTGTTATTATTTTTCATTTGTTGCAATACGATTCCATGAGTCATTCGCAGACTGCGCAGAAATGCTCTGAATTGTTTAGGGAAATCCAACACCTGAGCGAGGGGAAGTCGATTAAATAAATTATTATACCGGATCAAAGTCTTTACTCTGGACATTAACAAAAAAGCTCCAGGGATTTCCAAGTGGGCGGTCAAAAAACCACTTTTTTGCGTCTCGCGGCGCTCTTGCTTTTCCTTTCGTTATTTTTCATTTTTGCGTGATGACGCGCTTTCGTTGAGCATAAACAGTGTGAGAGATTATACGAAGCACGCGTCATTGTTTTGCCCTGCAAAAGGACAACATCATTGAAGCGAGGATTATAATTCCACCATAATATCTGCCAAGTTTATCTCTGTGGACGCAGCCAGCTCAAGAACAACGATTTATAATAAGACTTGGTGCTGGCGTGAAAACAGCTTAATATGGCCAATTAATTCCGATCCTTGGGAGAAATCATTGACCTATAGAAACTCATTTAGCCGCCCGAAAATGCAAATGCGCGTGAACTTCTTTTTTGTTTTCAAATCTCAAGAGCTCATGAATAAAGTTTCATGCTTGACATACTTCACAATGCCAAATTTACAAACACATTTTCCGCCGCATTATTATTTCCATGCATAATTGAGGCGCGGTGCGAGTGTGGCTATTAGGCTGAAAACAAGGACATTTAAACGCGATCAAGACAAAAACACACACACACACGCCTCTCCACAAAGACAATAACAAAAGGAGGCTGCACCGTTCCACGAAACAGGAATGCATTATGTACTTTTCATTGAAAAATATAATTGGTTTGAGGAAAATTTCGTGTTTGTGTTGTTGTTGAATAATATTTTGGAATGCCCAGGGATAAAACATTTTAAAACTATGGAAATCAATTATACCAATTATATGATGGATTGAAAGTTTATTTTTAATATTTATTCTCCTCTCATCAGTAAATTTAAGCGTAATTTAAAAACACAATAAATCAAAGTAAAATTTAAAATATTTAAAATTCAGTTCCCCAGCATAATTAATTTATTTTGAAACACTTTAAATTTTAAATTAACATACAATATTGCTGGGTAATATTTATATAAAAAAACATTGATTAATTGATTATACAAATATAAAAAAGCAGGGCTGTCAGGAGTATTACAGCAATAAAAATAATATATAGGTTCCTTGCAATTTAAAAAAAATTATTTATATTATAATGTTTAATAATCAATTAATCATCTATGTGATAAAAGTCCGTTTTTAGAATAATATCTCAAATAAAATAAAATGTGAATATATCTTTATTTGTATTTTGTTACTTGTATTAAATTTTAAAAATTATTGATAAAGATAAAAGAAAATAATAATATTGGCAATTTTGCAAACATCAAAAAATTATTATTTTATATACGTGAGTAGAATAAATGTTAATTTCTTAATATCATTCTTTTCGTTTTCTGTAATATTCCGTTAAAGGAGAAAACGACTTCAAAAACACAAATATAATTAAATGCCAAAAAATAAAGATTCACTTCTTATAGTTTTATTATTTAAGTATATTTTCAAAAATTATTCTTTTAAATTTATTGTTACCACTTTCAGAAAAAAATTGATGAACTAAAGCATAATAATATTTGAAATACACTATAACTGGATTTTTGAACAATTCTACATCCTACATGGTCAAAATGCTATTTATTCCAATCGGCGATATTTTCCCTGAATTGAGGTTGTCAGACGTGGGTATAATTAACATACCTTGCGCCGCTGCAATTATGGTTGAATTTTCTAGGACAGTTGCCGTGTCGGCGGCGGTTTCGCTGGCGTGCACTTGTGCTGCTGTCCAAAACAGGCCGAGCCAGAGCAGCCACGCGGCCGTTGTCCCTCGCAGAAGCTCCTTGCTTCTGCCCATGGTGCAGGTGTCGGACGGTGCTGGACACTTGGCATGGCTACATCACGCCGCGATTTCAAACACTGGCACGCATTTACGTGTCCAAGACGAAAGCTTTACTAAAAGATCGGTGATCGCGACGGTGCAGCTCAAACTTTCACTTGCTTGCTTCGTTAAGAATGGAGAAGGAGGACTGAACTGACCCTAAATCGCAGCCGTGCTTCTCCATCAGAAGGTTCTCCCGCCACTTGAACTCTCTCGCAAGCAGTCAGGTTGGACTCGCGGCCGCGACTTGAACAAAAGGCGCCACTTTTGAATTCGGCACGATCGCGAGCAACATCGCGAGTTTTTTTTTTATCGCGGTGAGAAATTTACACACGTTCTCCAAGGTGCCCTCTGCTTATTCGCGCCGTTTCAGTCCGGCCGAGCTGATAGTTCTCGAGACCGCCGCGTGGAGTCGCACTGTGACGTGGAAATAAACAATAAACACCAGGAAAATAACAAAAATAGCGAATGAGCAGCAGATGAGCAGCCTCTGACAAGTATACATCTAGACCGCGGCCGAAAGTTTTATAAATTGCCAAAATTTTTCATTTTTTAATCACTTGTAACGGTATTAAAATTTTTAAGCAATTTTTTAAGCATGACGTGCATGAAAAATTAAATATGGATTTTTTTTAGAAAGTTTTTAGGTTTTTTAATTTTAAATTTCATAAAAGAGGAACTTGATTTAATTTTAATTTTATCATTGTGAACATGAATTTTTCTCTAAATTATTGTATGCTCTCGTTTTGTCTCATTTTGCTTTGCTAGTTACTTTTGTTGCAAATATTATACATAATTAACAAATTTATATTTCCATATCTTTGTATGATAATTTATTTTTTATACAACGTGTGTATTTATTATGTCAACAGATTTCATCATCACCTAAACCGCATGCGAGGCAAATTGCTGCTCCACGTCGCTCTGCTTCCACGTTTTATTTTAATTCCTCCAGTTAAGAGTTTTTCCAGCAGAACGATGGCAAGCCACCAGAAAATAATTTGTCTGTTTGACGTTGACGGAACATTAACAGCACCCCGAAAGGTAAATTTTTGTAACTTTGCTTTAAATTATTTTTAATGATTTCTTTATTCTTCAGGTTATAACCAAAGAAATGGAAACGTTTCTGTTTGAAAAAGTGAAATCGAAGTGTGACATTGGTCTCGTTGGAGGCTCCGACCTGAGCAAAATCGCAGAACAAACTGGAGGACCAAAAAGTTGGATTTAAATTTTTAAATATAATTTATTTAAAATTGCTTCTCGTTATTTCAGTTGTGAATAAGTGCAACTTTCTGTTTGCCGAGAATGGTTTGGTTGCTTACAAAAATGGAAATCAAGTTGGCTGTGAGGTAATTTTTTAATTTGCGATAAATTTTTTAAATTAAAAGAATTATAATTTCAGTCAATCCAACACTATGTTGGAGAAGAAAAACTGCAACGGTTCATCAACTTTTCCCTGCGCTATATGTCTGAAATAGAACTCCCTGTCAAAAGAGGCACCTTTATTGAGTTCCGCAATGGACTGATCAACGTTTGTCCGGTGGGGAGAAGTTGCAGCCAAGCCGAGAGGGACCAGTTCGCAGAGTACGACGCTGTCCATAACATCAGGAAGAAGTTTGTCGAAGCTCTTCGTGCTCAGTTTTCTGACTTGGGTCTTGCTTACAGCATTGGTATAACTCTATAAAATTTAAAGAAGCACAATTTTAAAATGTTTAAAAAAAGGTGGACAAATAAGCTTCGACGTTTTTCCGGAGGGTTGGGACAAGACATACTGCCTGAAGTACATTGTCCCTGAAAAGTATGACGAGATCCACTTCTTCGGTGACAAGACCGACGCTGGAGGTAATGATCACGAAATTTACAACCATGAAAAGGTAATTGGGCACAAAGTCACATCTCCCGACGACACAAAAAATCAGCTGTCGGAACTTTTTAACATTGTGTGATTTGACTTTTGAATTGGTGCGTTTTCTGCATCATATTTATTTTGTTTTAATTGATTTTAAAAATCCAGTCAAACCTTTTTTCATAAGGTTACATGTTTCATTCCAAGTTTGTTACATGGTTTTAAAATATTTTATGATTCAAACAACCAATATTATTATGTTTTAAATTTTAATAAAATTACCAGTTTTAAAAATATCAACTTTTATTCATAACAAAAATAACATTCATATTCCTCTCAAGCTGCAAGATTAGATCTTTAAAATAGGAAAGTGCTAAACGCTTTTTTTTTTTAATTATATGACACTGGTTGAGCTTTAATTAAATTCACTCTCCCTTAAACCTGGGCGCCCTTTTTTCTTTGAAGGCCAACAATCCTTCAATTCTGTCTTTTGTGGGCACCACATGCGAATAACACTCCTCTTCAATTTTGTATCCCGAACCTATGTCCGACTGCATTCCGACGTCCACTGCCGTCTTGATCAGATTGAGTGCAATAGGGCCTGAGGGCAGAATTTCCTCGGCTAACTCCATGGCCCTCTTAAAGGCCGCGTCCTTGGTCTCATTCTGCTCTACTGCGTGGTTGACCACGCCGTACTCTCGAGCCTTCTTGCCATCAAAGATCCGTCCGGTGAAAAGCAGTTCTTTGGCCAAGGAGGCTCCGACCAGTCGAGGCAGACGCTGCGTCCCTCCAGCCCCAGGGATGATGGCCAACCTGCTCTCGACCAGGCCCAACTTGGCGTTGGACGAGGCCACCCTGAGGTCGCAGGCCAAGGCCAATTCGAGACCGCCCCCGAGGGCGGCTCCGTCCAGTGCAGCAATCACAGGCATGGGCAGTCTTTCGATGGAGATGGTCAGTTTTCTCAGACGGTTGACAAACTCGACCACCTCTTTGTCCGACATTGTCGCCCGTTCCTTCAGGTCGGCGCCGGCACAGAACACGCCAGGTACGAGACTCCGTATGATGAGGATGCGTGTGTCCTGATCGTGTTTGATTATTTTCACCGTGTCGGTGAATTTTTGCACGAAGGACTTGCCGAAGGCGTTTTTCGCTTCAGGTCGGTTCATGCCGATCACGACGATGCCTTTGTGCTCGTTTTCCAGACGATCAATGATGATGGGGTCGGACGGTGCCTTCTCGGAAAACAGTCGGCTGCCTTGCGTCGCGGCCAAGGTCAGCGGGCGCCGCAGCGGCGCCGCGTTTCTCAAAGACTGGAGGGCAATCATTTTCCCTGCTAGGGACGAAACTAGTTTTTATCATTACATAAATTTAGATTTGTTGAAACTTACAGTAACTCCCTTTTGTACTTCGGTAAATGATTTAATAATATGATTATGCTCTCATCTCACAGCTGGTACAAAACTACAGAGGGAGTGTTTAATAATTTTCAGCCAATCAGAAATTAGGTTTGCGTTCCACAGCTTCCAATGAATGAACTGTTAAAAAATAGTAAAAATATTAATCTAACTCGATCATAAAGAAAGGAATGAAAGCTAGGAAAAGATATACATAATAAAGGAAGAGGTGCGAGTGAAATGGAAGATAGTGTCCATCAAAGTAAAAAATTTTCATATTTTTAAAGGAATTATAATTATATAATAGTTTTTTTAACGTTCTTATGGAATTTAATTTAGGTGGGATAATTAAGTAAAACTTAATACCCTTGCAACTAAATAAATATTAACAGCAAAATTTCACGCTTATTTTAATTAAATGATATTTTCATTAACAATATGTATATATTTTCATACAATTACAAGGCGGTTCAAGTTATTTGTAATTATTTATTTTTTTACCAATTCAATTAACACCGCAATTAACATTTGCACGAATGATAAAGCTGGAAGTTTTTAAGGCAGATTATAATTAATTAATAATTATTTAACTTCTAGCAATGGTTTTTTCTTTTCATTCATGCTTTTCATAATCCAGAACATATACTTATTCACTCTCACGACTCTCGTTGACGCATGAGTGGGAATGGAATGTGAAAATGTTTTACATTTTTGTGAGCTACCGAGATTCAAACTTACAACTTACAACACCCTTCACCAGTCGTCTGCTGGAAAATAACTATACTCGGCGGTCTAGAGAACGTTTTTGTCACTTATTTAGACATTGCGGCGCGCGCCAGCAAAATTCGCCTCTGGAATGTCACTCATCCATCCTCCACGGTTGTGAATGGTCACAATCTTCCTATTTCCTTCCCACCACAACGTAAATTTATATCTCTGGGCTCTGGCGGCCTGTTTCTGTTGATTTTTGTTTTATCCTCTCGCACTGTCTCACTGCTCTTTGCAGGGCCCTTTTTGCTGCTGTGCATGAGCACATAAGAAGCCTAAAAAGCATCAAAATTCTCTCACTTGTCCCTACTTACCATTTTCCTTTCTACAAATTATAATATTCATTAATGTTTGTAATTGATTTACGCGTCGTTTCAAAAACCGTTTGAAGAGCAACTCTATATCAGGTAAGTTTGCATTAAATATTTCTGATTAAGTTTTTCTTCGAAAGCGAAATCCGTGTGAATGAATTAATTTTAAATTTATTAATTTATTTTACAGATGGCCTCGCTGCGCTTCTAGATCTATTTTTAAAATTTATTTTCGTGAGACAACTGTTGGTCATCATCGACTAGCTAGATCACTGCTCTGTTTTTGGATCATTTTTGCGCTGGACTGTATTTGAAAAAATGGTAAGATATATTATTTTTGAACATATTATTTAATTTGTGTCTTTTTCAACCTCTCATCATGTATTTTTATTTTTACCAATATTTTTTTCCATTATATTCCAGCAATCAGCCGAGAACTCTGATCTGGAGATACACTGCTGCCTATGCAACAAGCGCTTTACCAGCACCTCCACTATGCTGCACCACCTCATGTTCCAGCACGCCTCTGAAGACATCTGCTTGGCCCTGATGGCCTTATCTGCCCAAAGATCTCACTCACCCTTTCTTCTGAACACTGCACAATTCAATGACTTCTTCCAACAATACCCTCAACTCAAATCGATCGTTAATTTTGAGTTTGACCTGCCAGGTGGGCAGTCTGCGTCCTTTAACCTTCCAAACATGAGTCCGTTCTTGTCTAGCCACTACTTTTCCTGCAACCCTTCCTCTATTCCCTGCAGTCCAGCCCTTGGAATGATAGCGGATTGCAACTTCAATCCTCTGCTGCAAACTCCACCTCAATCGTACACCCATTATTCTTTGAACCTGACTCCGATCAAAAGCGCGGCATCTGAAGTATTTCAAAGGGTCGTGCCATCACCGGAGAAGATGAGTTCCCCAAAAGCAAGAGCTCCTCGTTCTAGAATTTCTTCGGTGAACTCAGTGCAAAATCTGTCCCAGCAGTCAACGGACACCCTGATCCTAGACGTCGTCAATTTGTCTCAAGAGATGGCCCAAGAGGCTGCCAATGAGGATATGGACGATGTTCGAAAGTTTAAGTGCGACCAATGCAAGAATTCGTACAAGTTGAAGGCCCACCTGACCAGACACAAGAAGAGTGTCCACTCAACGGAGCGCCCCTACAAGTGCCAGTTCTGCGCAAAGGCCTTCAAAGTCAAAGAGTTGCTAAACCAGCACCTGCGGTCACACAGGGATCGGTTGCCCTTCGACTGCGGTTTTTGCTCCAAAAAGTTCTTCATGGCGTCTGACCTCAAGGAACACACCAAAAAGGAGCACGAGTATCACCCTTACATGTGTGGCCACTGCGACTCCACGTTCCTCTTTTTTGGCAAGCTGGAGAAACACGCAAAACGGTTGCATAAGTGTAATGTGTCACAATGTCAGATGTGCACGGGGCTGAAGAAAAAAGGTCTCCGAAACACTAGAAAGTTTGCTTTTTCTGTTTTGAATTTCATTTGTGATATCTGCAAGAAAGGCAACGTTGACAAGAATAGGTTGCGTATTCATCTCAAACGAGCACATAATATTGGGTAAGAAGATTCTGCGCACATTTTGTGGGGGATAAAAATTTGATTGGGTGATGTTCAATAATAATTAAATAAAAGTGGTTAATTTGTGTAAAGGAAAATGATTTGCTCCCTCCACTTTTTCCATATTGTAAAAATATTTTTTGTATATTATGCTACTCAATTTCTTTCTTTTTGAAATTTCAAATTATTGTTCCAAAAATAAATATGCACACCAAATCAGCAGACAGTTTAATATGGTTAATTATGCTTTTTTACCCACTAAAATGTTTAATTTAAGCCATTTTTTTTAATTATAGAAAACATTTGATACGTAAATTAGATTTTTTTTTTTTTTTTGTTATGCATACCGCCAAACACTATTAAAACTCGAACGGTTGGCAATTAGTCATTTTCTCAACTTGTTGGCAGCAGTGCTCAAGCGGCTCATGCCCACTCATGCCCGCCCCGCCCACTGCCTAATCAAAACAAATCCAAAACATCGTGGCTGATACATTCTACCGAGCCAGGGGCTCTCAAATTTGAAAAAATAGCTGGTTGCAGAATTTTCAGCGCCTAGCAGGTTCGTTCCATTCAGCTTTTTCATGAGGAATTTTCTATACTTTACTTTATTTCTGGTATTTTAGATTATTTTGTGAGTAAATTTTTAATCTTTTCAGCAGGCTCTGCTGCAGTTCTGTTGTCTGTCCGAGTTGTTCAAGTGGATTTCCTATAAAAATGACAGCACTTCGTCCGTTTACGTGCAACGACCTTTTCAAGTTCAATAACGTGTAAGAGTTTTAGTAAATTAAAATAATAAATGCATTAATTGAACTGTCTGATATTCCAGCAACTTGGATCCTTTGACGGAAACTGTATCCTTTCACTATGAGCATAGAAACTGACGCATTCTATTTTTTATTCCGTGCAATTTAGTATTTTCATCATTAGAATACATAGGATTTTTTCCTCAATATAAAATAAGTATGGTCTCTCTTTTTATCTTCAATACTTAGCGCATTGGCCTGAATACTTTCAAGTGGCCGAATCACCAAGTGGACAAATTATGGGATACAGTAATTGATCAGCATTACGAGATGATACATTTTTGTTTATTATAAATATGACACTTTAGTTATGGGAAAGGCCGAGGGCAATGGAGAAAAGTGGCATGGGCATGTGACAGCTCTAACAGTGTCCCCGGACTACAGGAGACTTGGCGTTGCCAACACCCTCATGGCTTATTTGGAGGAGGTTTCTGAAAAGTAAGTCTGGATCTAAAAGCTAATTCCAGAATTTTAATTAAAATTTTGTCTTGAAGAAAAAGGGCATACTTTGTAGATCTTTTTGTCCGAGTCTCAAACAAGGTTGCCATCAAAATGTATAAGGAGCTCGGATACATCGTCTACCGGACGGTGTTAGAATATTATTCAGGAGACCCAGATGAAGACGCTTATGGTAACTTTATTTTCATATGTACAGGTTGATATTATATTGTTTTTAATTTCCTTACTCATTGTCAGATATGAGAAAGGCTTTGTCGAGAGATGTGAACAAATCTTCCGTGATTCCCCTCAAGCATCCAGTCCGACCTGAAGATGTGGACTAATTTACCTTAAATTTTGTTTTTATTATTTCTGTGTAATGATAAATGTAATTAGGGAAATCATGTAACCATAATTGAATATATATAAATTAATACCATTTTTTAGCAAAATAATTTTGTAACTATATTTTCAGTTATCATTTCTTTTAAAAAATTTTAGCATAAAAATTAAATGAAATCTACTTACGACTTAATTTCTTAATTATAATAAAAACAGTGAAATTTTTAAGCACAAAATTGATTTGCTGGAAGATAAATAACCCATGAATGAATGAGAGGGCGTGCCTCCAGTGCAAATGAAGAGGGGTGTGCCGTGCCAGCTGTCAAATGCCGCAGTCGCGAAAGAACAGAAAATTTAGTGGGTCCTGATAAAAGGCACAGATTCAAGCCACGGTTCACTTATCGTTAACTGTCAGACAATTTTTTTTATGGGAGGTTGAGGGTATAGTTATATAAAATCTAAAAGCAAAATTATATAGGTACAAAAATCTGCTTATGCTTACACATCAAATTTATCCTCTCCTGCATAATTATGTACTCGGCTCTCTACAGCTCTGAGCTTCTATCTTGATTTTGGTAAACAAACTTATATTTGTTCATATTACATATATGTATTATATTTGCCTTGTTATTTTGCTGCACTTTATTTTCGTCGTTTAATATATTTTTAATAATGTTGAAATAATTTAACAATTCTAATAAATTGCTATAAATACACGCTTTGCAGTTTTACCATAAGAGACAAAGCAGACAGCCACAATCAATAATCATGTTGGCAAAACTCTCCGCGAGTGCAATAATTATATTTGTCGTTGCTGGAATTCTCACATTTGTGATGCTATTTATTTTTGCCAAACGTCAAATCATGAGATTCGCAATAAGGTCACGCAGAGGGCCTCACGCTCCAATAGGTCATGAAGCAAAAAAGGTGTGTTTTTTGTTGTTGTAATTTTCCAGAATTCATAAAAATTTATTTTTTAGTCAATGCGTCGTGAAATTGAAAGGAGGATTGAACTTATCCCACGGATTATTTACGAAGCAAAGCTTTTGAGGGGTGCTCAAGACGTTGGGCAGGCCCAAATTGTGCCTGGCACACAGCTCATTTCAACATACTATCGGCTAAGGGCTGTTGATGACATCAAAATTCTAGGTCTGTTAAAACTTGAGACTCCTTAAAAAGGTGACTAGATAATAATAATTTATTTAGAAAAAGAACTTGGCATTATTCGACATCCCTCTGAAAGTGTCCGAACAGTGTTGGTTTCAACGCTCTGCGCAGCGTCAGAGCCATTATCGGGCCCAGCACAGAAAGTTGTTCATCAATTTTGTGATCTGTATGAACATGCTCGTCACGGTGCAGCAGATTTCGGAGAAAACGAATACAATACATACACTTGTTTGTTCAAGAAACTTGTGGAGGCGTAAATTAAAAATTTGATTGTTTTCCATAATTTAAAGTTGACTTTTTCAGTGGAAAGCAGCCTCGGTCTCTTTCAGTAATCCACAAATCTAGTCCAAATAGAACACCTAAGAGGCGGCATACACGGATACCAAGTTCCCTTCCATTAGCCGAAGTTTGTTCCGATCAAAGTAACGAGACACGAGTATGATAATAGGCAATAATAATAACCTTTTGTGCCATGCATTTAAATAAATTATTAAAGAGAATTCATAAATTTTTAAAAATTTATTTTCCTCTATAAAATAACAATTTAGTTAATTACAAAAAGGATCCGGATATAGATTGCAGAATTGCATTTTTCTCATTGAATAAGAATTGTTGTACCAGACCTTGGATGTTTTCCGAGCTCCGTGCCACTTGCCTCCTCATCGCTTGGCGAAAATCCTCTTTTGCACCTTTATCCACTCCCCGAGTTGCCATTCTCCTAATCAAAAATTAAATTAAAATCTAAGACGTCAATTCTCATTTTCTGCAAACCTTGTGAGTTGAGTAGTAGCTGTAGGGAGAATGTCCAATACAACAGAGCCGCCTTGCTCCGACGCTAGATAGGTGAACTCCTCTAGCAGATCAACATTGATGATGTATCTAGTGAAGAGGGGGTATGAAAAACGCCTCATCTGCGTCACCTGCTTCAGTAAATAAGAGGCCAGTTCTTGTTCTTGCGGCCAATCTAGCTGAAGAAGAACCAGACAGTGTCCTAATGCTGCCTCTCCTGAGGGGCTCTGAATTATTTGCTGAAAAATGAATTTGCCTTAATTCTAAAATCAAGTTCAAGTTAAAATTTTCAGTAAATACCTGCAAGCAAGAAGTGAGTAGTTTTGTGCAATATTGGAGAACCTCCACTCTGCTGAGGGCCAGGTAGTGCAAGTGTCGGCCAGAGGGAGCAGCAGTCCTTAGTCCAAAAGACAGCTGGCCTATCGGACTTGCTGGCAAACAACTGACTGCATTCATGACAAACTCACTGGCTTTCTAAATAGTAAAAATTAACTTAAAAAAACTTTTGGAAAGTGAAAAAGGATTAGATTTTCTACCACGAAGTGTCCTCGTATAAAGGCAGTGCTTGCCAGACGAAGTAAATTCGGCAGGGCAACGATGGGAGGTGCGACAGCAAATTCTTCATTTGGGAATGGTTGCCCTTGCAGCATGGCCTTGTCTTGCAAAAATGTGTACAGCCACGGTCCCTCAGCCAATCGCAACTGTAGCTTCAATTTGACAAACTCTAGAAAAATTTAATCAACATAAGAGCTTCTTTTCAGCCAAGATCTCGGTACCTTTTTTGAAGGTCTCAGCAGAATTGAGCATGTCCCAAGTTTTGACAGCCAACCAAAAGATTTGGACCAAAGACTGTTTGGCGTTGTTAGATCCACTAGAACTGACAGTCAGTGTTGGCAGTCCATGCAGCTCCTCCTCTGTTGACCTGACCCGTGGCCTCTTTGCAGACGAAGGACCCACGTCATATGTTTCCCCAAGGAAAGCTTCAACAAGAAGTAAAGAAGCTTCCTGCGATGATCCGTTGGACCCTTTTAATTTCCAATTTGCAATTATTGTCACAATAAGAAAATAAATTGTTTACCTATCGTGGTCGACAAATAAGTTGAGTATTCATAGAGGCAAAGCAAGAGGAATGTGGTGCTGCAGTAGACAAGCTCCTTAATTTGGTTCGCATCAAGTGATCTTGACTGCGCAAAATGCCTGAGCTTTTGGAAGTAGATCTCTTTGTTACTGTAAAATTTTATATTATCACATCCTGGTCATTAAAAAAAAAAAATTATATACTTCACCTTCCCATGGGTGAAGGTGTGCTCAAGTTCCAACCAAGTTTGTGGCCTAGAGACTCTTGAACGGAGAAAAGTCCTTCCCAGGGGTCTGCGATCGACCCTGCTACTTCCCTTTCCTCGTCCTGTAAAAAAATCATTAAGTTTAAGGAAAGATAGCAGCATAAACATTATTTTACCGTAAGGTTGTGTTCCCTGCTCGGATGCAAAAGTAATGTGCAATACAAATCTATTGCTTTGTGCAGGAGTTTGAAGACGAGCATTTGCGAAAGCATGATGCTGCTGTTTTCACCAATTATAGGTAAAACCTAGATTAAATTTAAAATAGAGAAAGTTTCTGAAAATCACAATTCTTCCTTGCCTGGACTACTAAGAATTTTTGATAGGAGTTTATGAATCCAGGTTTCTCTCGCTTTTCTGCGTCCAAGAGCAGTTCTACCAATTTAGGCTGCAATTATAAATTATGTAAAAATAAAAACAATAAAATATTTTCATTACAGCATGGTGAGGTGCTGTGTGAGGGAATTTCTTGAGAAGCAGAAGTAAAATTCTGCACTGCTCCATTTTGTCCTCTGTTCTGTCTGCTGTGGCTACAAGTACACTTTGTTGAACCTCTGATGAAGAGAGGTTACATTAATTTTTGCCAGTTTCAATTTTCAACTGAAACAAACCTTGAGGAATGTGTGAAAACATGTCCTGCAAAAAAGATGCCTCCGGATCGTTGTTGTTTGGCTTCGTGAGGGCTTGAACTTCCTGCCAGATCAATGGTTCTTGGCCAAATTGCTGGAATCTAAATCATTTCATTGAAAACTTTAAAAGTTTATTTAATATTAAAATTCAAAACTTACAGTGTGCTAAAACACAAAGCAGCTTCTTTGACGTGTTTCAACGCTTTTTCAATGTTGTAAACCTCAAACTGTGGAACAAATTTGTGCGATGAGAATTAAATGCTTCATATTGATATCCAATAAATTACCTGAACACTGAAATTATTTGGAAATAAACTTTTTGCCGTTAACATCCATGCCCGTGCAGCATGAGAGTCTCTTTTTAACTCTTCTTTCGCCCTGTTGACCAAATATTCTTCATCTGACAGCTCAACTTCCATCGCAACCATATTGAACACGAAGAAATTGCCAAATTAGATAACTTTTCCGTTTAAAACGGCAGCTTTTTTGGCAAAGAAATGTTAATAAAATGCAATCCAAGTAGATGCAATCCCTTGGAATTGGAAAACAGCATGACCAAAACAAACCACAAACCAATCTTACCAATCAGAAATAGGTTACGCCCCCTTTACAGCCAATCACTGGTCGTTGCCAGGGTGTAAACACTGTCCTTGGTGTAAACAAAAGTGCTTTACGCCGGATCGAATATTTGTTTACACAAATTAAGAACAAAGAAGTTTGTATGATTTGTATCTAGCCGTGTGAGGTAAATAGAGCTATGTAGCGTTTAGTTAAATCTTTCAAATTAACAAAGTAGTGCCCTATTATTTTATAAAAACAGAGAACTTTGAGATTTTTTAATGTTTTCAAACAAGCACTAAAATTTTCATTGCACAATGTACACACATTTTTCCCTAATTTCCCTGAAGTTGAATATTTTAAGCGCATTCATTTGCAAACTTTATTTGCAACAATTATATGCATAATTATATTTTCCTAATTTTTTAGCCATGGCTACCGTTGATGGTGCAGCAAACCATCCACCAGAGAAAAAGATTAAACTTGAAGTCCCAGAGGAGGACGAGGACAAAGCTGCTTATGAAGACCCTCGAAGTAAAAACTACATAAAATTTTAATTTTCAGTCGTGATATTGAATAAAAAATTATTCCACAGCAAAGAAGAAGTATGCGGCGGCAAACAGGCTTTGCCCTTATTTGGACACAATAAATCGACACGTGCTCGATTTTGACTTCGAAAAATTGTGCTCAGTTTCTTTGTCAAGGATAAATGTTTATGCATGCCTAGTGTGCGGGAAATATTTTCAAGGTTTGTTATAATTTGTATTTATTTGAAAGTTTTATTTTAAAACTGTTTAAAACTTCTTAACATCTACAGGAAGAGGACAAAATACATTTGCATACACTCACAGTGTTGCAGAGAGCCACCACGTTTTCTTGAATCTGCTTACCTTGAAGTTCTACTGTTTACCAGATAATTATGAAATCATAGGTATTTAATACAACACTTTTATGATGTTTTGAAATTAAATAATATAATTTATTTGTCTAGATTCATCTTTGGACGACATCAAATATGTCTTGAACCCAACTTTTGACACCGAGTTGATCAAAAATCTGGACACGTCAAGCAAACTCTCTCGAGCAATTGACGGCACCATGTATTTGCCAGGCATAGTTGGTCTAAACAACATCAAAGAGAATGACTACTGCAACGTCATTCTGCAGGTAGAATTTTTCTGGCTAAAGTTAAAGTTTCTTGAAATAATTCTGTTAGGCTCTGTGCCACGTCTCTCCTCTGCGGGACTACTTCCTTGAGGAGAAGAGTTACTCCAGCATCAAGAGGCCTCCTGGAGACAGCTCTTACTTGCTGGTGCAGCGGTTTGGTGAGCTGATGCGAAAGTTGTGGAATCCTCGTAACTTTAAAGCTCACGTCTCCCCTCATGAAATGCTGCAAGCTGTTGTATTGTGGAGTCGGAAGAAATTCCAGATCACCGAGCAAGGTAGATTTTTATTAAAATTTTATTCAATGATGTTTATATTTTGTTCAAAAAGGTGATCCCGTCGAATTTCTCTCCTGGCTCATCAATGCGCTGCACTTGGCTTTGAACGGGACGAAGAAATCGACTTCATCCATAATCTACCGTTCATTCCACGGTACAATGAAAATTTACTCGAGAAAAATTCCACCCGTTGAGCTTGATGACCGTCAAAAAGCAGAGCTGCTGAAGACCTACGAGTATCAGGAGACGGTGTCGGAGTCGCCATTCCTGTATTTGACTTGCGACCTTCCACCGCCGCCTCTGTTTCAAGACGAGTTCAGAGAAAACATCATACCACAGGTAAGATTTCAAATTTTAATAGGTTCCCCCAAAGTTTGCAAACTATATTAAAAAAAACTACAGGTAAACCTCTACACTCTTCTGACCAAGTTCAATGGTCAGTCAGAGAAGGAATACAAAACATACAAGGAGAATTTCCTGAAAAGGTTTGAGATTACCAAGTTGCCTCCTTACCTCATCTTGTACATCAAGGTAAATTAAATTTTTTTATGACATAAATCAAAGAGGAAAAAATGAAAATTTTGTTTTGCAGAGATTTACAAAAAACACATTCTTCATTGAGAAAAATCCGACCATTGTGAATTTCCCTGTCAAGTAAGAAGAGTCATTCAATTTTATGACAATTATTAAGGTTTTACTATCTATCTCATAGGAACGTTGATTTTGGAGACATTCTGACTCCAGAGGTAAAAGTAAGACATAAGCACACGTCATACGACCTGGTAGCAAATGTGGTTCACGACGGAGACCCAAAGAAGGGCTTCTTTAGAGTGCACGTCCTGCAGAAAGTATGAATTCAGCTTGTTTTAAATGAACTTCTCAACCAATATTTAAAATAATTCTAGGGCACTGGAAAATGGTACGAAATGCAAGATTTGCATGTGACGGAAGTATTGCCCCAAATGATAACTTTGACAGAAGCATACATCCAGGTATACAAAATTATATTGTATTCAATAGTTTTATTAACGATGGGGAAAATAGATTTACGAGCTTCGAAGAGATGACGTCAAGATGGAAACTGCATAGAGGACAAGATGGCTGCAATTCTTGTTTTTGGTAAATTAAAATATGGCTCCTTTTTTATTTTTTGTTAAATTTTTTATTAAACTACACACTACGGGCATATCTGGGTAGTTTTAGGACTTAAATTTAACTCGTCTGCTATAACTCGCAACAGGGGAAATTTTCCACAATGGCATATGTCATGTGCATCATCTGAATTAATTTCTGTCAAGGCTATCCCTCCAAGATTTCTAGACTTGGCCATTTGAACCTAATAATTTTTTATCAGTCCCTGGCCCTCACTTGAACATTGACTTTTTACTTTTTCTCGGACAGAAATTGTGTCTTCGAAGGATATCCATTGTTCTTCATTGTAAGCAAATGAAGTACTAAAGGGACGCAGGAGGGTCAAGGATGCTCCTTTTTTTGTAACCTTAATCCACTTTTCATGTCGAACATAGTGGCATACCTTTCAAAACATGACATATTGACAATATCATTCAACTTTTATTACATTAAAACTTACTTCAAAAAAAGGATAGATTAATGTATGATTGACGAACTTGCTTTTATTTGCGTTTCCAGTAACGGCTGCGCCAATAATTTCAGCCATTTGCTTGTTCTGAAGGGCAAAAGTGTTTGCTGTACAATCTATACCCCAAATTAATTTGTCCGGTGAAGCCCCTTGCTTCAAAGCAGCGTTAATGCTAGTTAACTTAATAAATCATGAAAAGCTCAAGCTGCCAAAAAATATAATAGATTTTATATAACTGCTTTGTCCAAAGGTGATTTAAAGCCAGTTTTTCTCTCCCACGCTCCAGCATAATCAAACGCTAGCATAGTCATCCAATCCAAATATTTTGACATGAGTGGCAATTTGTAACCTATTTTATTATTCTTGCATGTTATGCTCTTTTGTTACTTAATTTCAATTTTTTTACCCAAGTCCAATTTGTGTGGATTAGGCTGGAGAACCGCAGAAAGAGTAAAATTAAGGGGTCGAAATGCTTTTGATGCCTCAACCAAAAATATTCCAAAGTTATCTTTGTCTTGGAATTTTGCACCCATTTCACAAACTGAGCGCCAGCACACAGGGTATTGCCAAAATATATCCAAACCATGCAGATTGTACTGCTTTAAAACTTCAATAGAATTCATTATGAAATTGCTCCTCTTGGCAGGATCCATTATCATTCTGCTATATTTATCAGTAAATGAATCATTGTAATCACCCAATGTGAGGATAAGCTTTGCAGATTTTAGTGGTCGAAATACTTCAATCTGTTCCCGCAAATCTGATTTTTAAGAGGAGCGATTTTTTTTTATATTAACCTTAAAATGAAAGTACTAAAAGGTTTTAAATTGCCTGGTTTTTTATCAATAAGCACTTGAATTTCCAAAGTGGACGGGTTAAGAACAGTGAAGTCGTGGAAAATAATATGGGTGCAAGACTTGACATCATCAAAATTAGCTGGTTTCAGGAAGCCTATAGCACTATCAAAGCAATTAGTTAAGCTAAAAATTTTTTTTTAATAAATATACCGCTTCACATAGCACAAAAACTTATACATATCGGTAGACGCCAAAGTTTTATTTCCTGATGTTGGATTCAGATGTTGCATCAAACACTTTTTTCCCGAGAAACGATGGAGTTCAAAACATCTAGAGATACAAGCAGTAGTCGCAAGTCTTTGCAAATTTTCTGTTAATCTCAAAAATATTTTTAATTACATTTATGTTAATCCACAATAATGCATTTTATTTTACCATTTTCCACATCTGACAAAATTTTGCTTTTGCAGACGCTAGATGTATTAATGTTTTCAGTACTTTCAATACTTTCTCTAATAAATTTTAAAATGAAATATTCTAATTTTCAAAGAAATATAAATAAACTTACACAAATAGTAAAATCACAATTGCCGTGAGAGTCAGCATTGGATTTTCAATATTATATGAAACGGTGTTAGTGCAATATAGAGGAGTAAGAGGAAATGAAGCTTCCTCAATTTTAGATAAATTTAAAATTGGAAAAACTGGAATTGATATAAATGATATAATAATATGATCATTGTTGAGAAATACCTCCACGTAAGAGGTTTATTGGACTAGCAGCACATTTTTTATTCATTTACATAATTATTTTTAATGAATAGAGGATCACATAATAATCAAACATTGATAATTTCATAGTAACACACAAGTTTAGGTTTGAACGTTTGTTTGTCCATACTTGGAGTAGTTCTCGTAATGTCAGTGACTGAAAGACCACGATCCCATTTGACCAATGCAACGACCTGCAATCGCAAATAATTTTTGTAGCGATTTTTATAGTCTTTTGATTTAGAATAAAAATAAAAATTACCATCATCGTCAAATGTTGCCAAGGTTAAGCGGCTGAGCTTGTTGCTGAGACAAGACTGAGGAGTTATTTCTCTCCGAACGGGTGTTCTCAACGGCGCATGGAGTTCTGTTTAATTGAAATAAATGCATATTTTTCAATTTACAAAGGAAGGTGAATTACCATCAGTGTCAGTGGCAGCATCAAATGTCCCTTTTTCTGCTTCCTCACTGGCTCTCTGCTTCAGTCGGTCAACGTAGGTTGAAATGAGGGCGTCCATCATTATAGCCTTATAATTTTAGTTGGTATTGATTGTTGATTTAAAAAAAAAGAGCCTTACTTGTTTGGAGAATACTTGTAAAATTTTTGACACCCTTGCTCCATTTTCGACGACCATGAATTGGATGAATAGGCACGGCAGGCAGTCAGGGCTGTCTTCCTGAGACGGCCGAGCGTACTCCCAGCTGAGTTCCTCGTATTTCAAACCCAGTAATATGGTCTAAAATTTCAGAAAAATTAAAATGAATAAATAATTAAAAAGAACAACATACACATTGAATTTCATCAATGACATAGACTCCTTTTTCGTTGACCGCAACCAGAACAGGAATATCTTGGTGTGTTATCAGCGATGTTAGCCCTCGGACGGGCTGCTCAATCTGCCCATTAAAAAATGCACTCCTGTGGAGATACAGAATTATTTTCACATTGTACTTATAAAAATTAACAAACCCGTAAAAAGGCAGCGCCCAACAAAATTCTAGGTATTTTCTAATCAACCGCTTGACCGGCGTTGCTGCCGGAACACTTTTGAACGCCTCCAGCAGCCTCACTTCAGGAGACCTTTTGCTGCTCACTGGCAACCAGGCCCAGCCTGCTGCCTTCCTCACGTGTGCTGGAAGAAAGTCTCCGTGCTGCTGTCTGAAAATTAATTATTTAATAAATAAGCAAAACAAAAAATAGATTTTAGATTTGCACCTGAAAAATTCAGGTGTGTGGTGGTGTGGGTCGTATGGTCCTAGTTCGATTCTAGCCTGCAGTCCTCCCAACATTATGTAATGCGAGACCTCACACGGGTATCTACCCTCCAGCACGTTGTACTTGGCCTCTTCGTAAAGTAGCTCAAGTACCTTTTGCTCCCTAAAAGCCAAAATTATAATAAATCAATCGATGAAATTTAGAATTTTTAAAAATTACTTGATTCGCTCTTCCTCCACTCTGGATAGAAAGACATTCCTCTGAAGAGCGATTCTTGGCTCGTCTCTTTCTTTTCGAGACTCGGACGCATCACTAAACCTGCTCAAAAGGTACTGCCAATTTTGCCTAACTTCTAAAGGCTTGTGGTTAGGCTTGAGTTGAATTTCTATTATCATAAATATAATCAATTAGAAATGCACTATTAGCAGATTAAAAATATGAATTACCTAATAGACCAGAGGTCATCCAGATTGAAAATACATCACTAGCGTTCCTAGGAAGTCCGAGCTGCTCTTCCTGCATGACCAAGGCAGTCAATTCTGAGGCCATTATTTGACGTGGCGCCTCCATTGACAAAACCACAGGCGAAAAGAGAAAAACTGCCATCTGAATAGCTTTAAAATAATAATAATTAGAGGCTGAAAATTAAATTTAAAAAAAAAAATACTTTTCTTTGGAGGAGGAATAGCCTTGTCATTGGCAAGCTGTTGTTGTTGCTGTTGTTGGCACTGCTGCTGAAGTTTGGCCACCAATTGTTCATTGATGGTTTGCGCATCAGGGTGCACCTGCTGCTGCTGCACACTGGGCGCCTGCGGGACAACCTGGTTCGCAACCTGCTGGGCAAGGCTGCGAGGGTCCCACTCACGTTCTTGGGTCATGGTGTTGTACGAAGCAAGGGGCTCTGCGGCGTACCTTTGCGCCAGGGCGTACATGGGGCCAGCGTCCTCGTACTGAGGGTCGCTGTTGATGTTGTAGTCACCACGGAGGTACTCGTCCCGAGCCCTCTCTCGCAGGTACTCGCTGTACTGATCCACCAGGTAGTCGGTGGTGGTTGTGGGATAGGGGGTCCGACGGCTGTAGTCCACTGGGATGACGGTGATGAACGTGCCCTGGGTCTGCGCGTCCGCGTCCGAGTGGCCACACCGATTGCTAAGCGAGTCCTCGCGACCGTCCACAGCAGCCATTCTTATCCGCTGAAAAAAAATAAAAATAAAATTACCTTTCTATGAATTAAAATTCAAAATTTTTAAATCGAGTTAGTTCAATACAAATATTTCATTATTCAATTTAAAAAAAAAAATATATCTTAAGACTTAAATTATACAAAAAAAGCTTTGCCCTATATTATATTATGCTCACATGTTCATTGAGGCTACTGGCAAGGCTGTGAGGCATTTTCGACTCCCGCGAGTCTGCCTTCACTCGAAACTTATCTCGGGAATCCAGGATGCCGAAATTGATTTTTCAATAATTGTCGGCAATAAATTTTAACTATACAGAAAGTGTTAATCTTTGTTTTGCTACTCTCTGTCTGCTAGATTCAGACTTCACTGCTGTTCACACAACGCTTTTTGTTTGTGGTTCTCTTCTCTCAACTATGGATTTTTCTTGGATGGATATTGCGTCTGCGCCCTCGGGTTGCAGCTCTACAACCCGTTTTTTTTGTCGTCGTCTTAAACGACCGCCAAAACGAGGATAGGATCAGATTATTGTCTGCTATGATTTTACAGATTTTACATACATCCACAATATTTTTTTAGTATAAAAACATATGTAAGGAAAAATCATAACATACTATAATAATAAAACCAGTTAAAAATATGAAAGCGCAGACGATAATAATAATTTCTCTATTCCCAATAATGCAGTGGCAAATAGAGCATCAAACTGATTACTGATCAAACTAATTATTTTCTAGCTCTAAAACTTTTCAAAATTATTGAAAAATAATATTTTTTTTTGGAAAAAAAATATTTACCTAGGAAAATTAATGATGGCATAAGTAAAAAAAGACTGCAATATAAATATCAAGATTGTAATTTGGACAATTATAATAAACTAAAAAATTCTGCGCCTGTCACAGCGTGTCATGAAGTTTTACGAAAATATGGCAGTGAGATTTTAAATTAAAGGTGAGAAAAGATAAATTTTAGAGTCCAAGAAATTTCCTATGTTACACGTACCAAGGAAAAGATAAAATTGTAAAATATTACCCGTAGAGGCATTATAATATATATGATCATATACCCTCCATACAGCTAATTTGGCACGCAATGGAAGTTAATGAGTTTGCATATAAAAGGGCATCACGAGCGAATGCCCACCACATAATTATTACACACTTTGTTGGCAACGATGCGGTATCTCATCTATCTTCTGATCGTCTTCGCGATTCAGGTAAAATAAGTTTCTTAATTTCATTATTTGCAAATGGGGCTCGTAGCAATGAGTTAGTTACATTGTGGTAATGGCTCACAAAACAATATAGATAAATATAAAATTTTATAGAAATTCTAAAAGCGGCTAATTTTTCAAGTCAATTTCGTTTATAAATTTTAATTAATGGGAAATTAGTTTTAACTTTTCGAAGTTATTGAAGGTTTCCTTGGAACACCACCAAGTGTTCCACCACCAATAATGACTTTATTTTTTTTCTTATTAAAAAAGTGTATAAAAAATTTTGTGTGTCTGATAAAAAAATTATATTTAAAATAGTGGGATAAGTATAAAAAATCTCTTTGATAGATTTCAGCAAGCGATATCTTGTCTTGGTCGAACAATACAAATGAATCAAAAAGGCAAGACGTGATTGGAAAAGCCTGGGCGGAGCATGCTGAGCTAATTTTAAAAGAGCGACCTTTAGATGTTGGAAGGAGTAAGCAATTGTGTACGTTTGTTTATTTTACAATTCTATTTAAACAAACAATCAAGGGTTCAAACGACAGCTGGTGTCTGATATATCCACCGATTCAACCACAATGGGCACCGATTCCACTACAACGGCCGGCACTGATTCAACTACAACGGCCGGCACTGATTCAACTACAACGGCCGTCACCGATTCAACTACAACAACCGGCACTGATTCAACTACAACGGCCGGCACTGATTCAACTACAACGGCCGGCACTGATTCAACAACAACGGCCGTCACCGATTCAACTACAACGGCCGTCACCGATTCAACTACAACAAACGGCACTGATTCAACTACAACGACTGTCACCGATTCAACTACAACGGCCGTCACCGATTCAACTACAACGGCCGTCACCGATTCCACTACCACGGCCGGCACCGATTCAACTACAGCGGCCGTCACCGATTCAACTACAACGGCCGTCACCGATTCAACTACAACGGCCGTCACCGATTCAACTACAACAACCGGCACTGATTCAAATACAACGGCCGTCACCGATTCAACTACAACGGCCGTCACCGATTCAACTACAACGGCCGTCACCGATTCAACTACAACGGCCGTCACCGATTCCACTACAACGGCCGGCACCGATTCCACTACAACGGCCGGCACCGATTCCACTACAACGGCCGTCACCGAATCAACTACAACGGCCGGCACTGATTCAACTACAAAGAAAGTCACAGATTCCACAACAACGGCCGGCACCGATTCAACTACAACGGCCGGCACTGATTCAACTGCAACGGCCACCGACTCTACTACAATTGGCACCGATTCAACTTTAACGGCCACCGTTTCAACTGCAGCGGCCACTGGTTCAACTACAACGGGCATCGATTCAACTTTAACGGCCACAATTTCAACTACAGCAGCGGCCACCGATTCAACTACAACGGCCGGCACTGATTCAACTGCAACGGCCACCCACTCTACTACAATTGGCACCGATTCAACTTTAACGGGCACCGTTTCAACTACAGCGGCCACTGGTTCAACTACAACGGGCACCGATTCAACTCTAACGGGAACAGGTTCAACTTTAACGGCCATGACTGTTTCAACTGCAAAAGCCACTGGTTCAACTACAACGGCCACCAATTCAAATACAACGGCCACGGGTTCAACTGCCATGGTCACCGGTTCAATTATAACGGCCAAAGTTTCGACTACAACGGCCGCCACCGCCATTGTTTCAACTACCAAAGTTTCAACAGCATTAATGACGCAAACAACAACTGGTACATCACCACTGTGCATAATTCAACCCAAAAATTGTCGGTCTAATAGTAACACGGTATAATCTTTCATCATTGTTGTCAGATATATTTTTTAAAGTATAAAAAAAAAAATAGAAAATGTTGAAGTGCTGTCGGCAACCACCTTTAACACTTGTTCCTTTCACTGGACTGGACACAGCATGTAAGGCTACTAAGGGTGCCCTTAAAGCGTTCAACACTTTTACGCTTAACAAGCAGCAGCGCTATGGCAACTCACTAGGGAACTCAATTCTTTTCGAAAGCTCAAAAGTTAAGAAGGTTTTGGGGAAGAAAGCTGTAAGTCTTACTATTGGAATGAAATTCATTTATAAATTTATTAACTAAATTAATACATCTAATATTTTCAGTGTTTTATAAACTGCTACTTGAAACAAAAAGGAGTTGTAAATATATTTTATTCACACGATCTATTATTTTCATTAATACAGTTATATATTTTTAGATGTCATCTGAATATGTTATTGACACGGCAAAGCTAACCGATTTCCTAACTGCTGCGCAAATTGACGCCACTTGGAGATCAAAACTTGCATCAGCAATATCTGATTGCCTGTCAATATTTGATAGTAAAATAATGAAAAACTCATGGTTCTCTATTCACTAATAACCCAAAATCGAAATTTCAGGTCTGAAAATTCCAGATTTTACTTCAAAAGGAGTCACGTGTCCTGGGAAGGCATTTCTAGTTGTCCAATGTGTACACCTCAAAGCAATTAGCGTAATTATACTTATTTTGAAAAGATAAAAAATTGAACATTTAAATTTCAACAACTTTCAGAGTTGCCCTCAAAAAGGTAATAATTTGCGTCCAAAATTGTATTATTTTCCATAGTAACATAATAATTTATTTCAGTGGAAACAAAAAAGTGCCAGAAAAAATACGATTTGTTCAACAGGTGCTCGTGTAACATTTTTAAGCAACAAGCTATGAATAAGAGACAGCAAATCAAAAAGAGAGTCAAATCGGGAAAAATCGTCAAGAAAGTAATTGAAAATGTGGGAAATAAGCTCACTATAGGTGACGCGATCAAAGTGAAAAAACAGAAGAAGAAAATGGTAAAATCTAAAAAAGTAAAAAACGCAATAGAGAAAGGAAAAAAGAGGAAAAGCGTTAAAAATGGGAAACAAGAAAGAAAGAAAAATTTCACAGCAAATAAAAAGCAGGAGGTCCAGGATGAAAATAACCGTCGGAAACATTTGAAACAAAAAGTGAAAGCTGAAAAAGAGATTGTACAGGATGAAGGAAAAAGTAGAAAGAGCAATAAAAAGTCCAATGCTAAAGGTGATGGAAAGAAGATGAGGCAAGGAGAGAGATTGACAAAAATGAAAAAGAAGAAGCTTGGAAAAAAGTCAGATGCATCCAGATTCAATTACTATGCTTAATCAAACAGGGAAGGCGAAACACTCGAGACAACCTGCGACCATCCATTGCTACGACGTCCGATTCTTTTAATCTTTTTATTCCCTTCCATTCGTATTTTTTTTTAAATTTTTTTATTTTTAAATGTATTATTGCTTTAAGATTTATGCAATAAATTCTTTCCTGCATTGAAAAAAATTGTTATCGAATTCTAATGGTTAACCAATTCAATCCTTTGTATTTTGATGGATTTAAGCTAAAACACTAATCACCTGCACTAGACTTCGTACTCGAAAATGCTACCATTAAAAAAAAACATATCCCGCCTGGCTAACGCAGAAAAATATGATTTTTTTATTGTTTAACAAATAACATTCAAGCAATGAGCCAATCCATGCAGCAGCCTTGGAACTCAGAATATTTTTATATTTATTGCAGCGTCATGAATATTAATAAATAATTTTTTTAATTGGTCGCGTCGGTCGCGAAAAACACAAATTTTCAGCTTTGTACTCCAGAAATAACAAAATCCAGGTTTCGGTCTTCAGAAAACTTCTTCAGAGAGACACTTGGTCTCACACTTAATCAACAACATAATTATGCGCGGACATGATAAATATGTTATAATTAACTAATTTGAAATTACAAAAAATTATTTCGATAAAGCAAAAACTGGAGCAGATGTATTTAATATATATTCTGGTCTTCAAAATAAAAAATCATAATAAATCGTCTACTAAAATCGATGATGAAAAAAATTTTATATTAAAAAATTATATAAAATTTTAAATGATGAAGAAAATAATATCCTCGTAAAAACTAAAAACAGAATTATTTGTGATTGCTAAATTTTAATTTCAATATCATCAAAAAAGGGAAACTAAAAGTTTGAGTTTTGCTTTTTTTTAAAATGTTATTTTTCATCAGGTTTATAACAGCAGTTCATAACATCCGTTCTAGGATGGCCGCGAAACAAATGTACAGCATTATTTGTACCCTGGTGCGTTAGATCCGTTTTCCGTTTGAGGCTCAATATGACAAGGCATGAAATATTATGCGCACGTTAAAATTTTTTGTTTCATTTCAATTCAATTCCACCATTTCACTAGATCTTTGCTTTTATATAATATTGGCAACAAAAGGCCAAAAAAATTCAGTTAAAGATTTATTTTTGAGCAGCTAGGGGCAGTTTTATTTATTGTTAGATAATATGGTAATGCGATGCTTATAACAGTCACTTCATTACATGAATAATTATTGTGCTTTTATTTTGGATTTCAGGGAAATGAACCCAATAAAACCAAAAAAATCATAACCCAGTTCATTACACCCACAGCCAGCTTCTATATGGTTCGTTTTCCAATCATAATGTAATAAAAAGAAAATTATGATCAATTATAATAAAACTTTAGATCTCTGAAAAAATATGCACTGTAATAACACGATTGGAATAGCATTAATGAAACATTGCAAAATAATATGTTCCAAATTTCCAGAACTTGAAAAACTTCAGGTTGATTCAATTAACTTTGTATAAAATGCATAGAGAAATTTTAGAACAGCCAAATTTTATCAGAAGGATATTAGTCAATATGAATTTAAAAAACATTAAAAACATAAATCACAAATTGTTGAAACGTTTCGACATACTTTAGAGGTGGAATTTCCACCATGAGTCGCTCTACTGTTATGTTGAATTAATTTGTGTGGTACAGCTCTACAAATTGAATGAAAAATTATAGCACAATATTCAGTTCTTTGCAATGAGTGAGGCCAATTTTTTAGTTGGCCATCAATTAACACGTCATTTATCAAAACTTGATTATCCGGGACAAATGTACAATTAATAGCAAAATTAATGTCCATTTTTAAATATTAGGTGGGGGCTTGTTCCAGTGATATCGCAGCCGGAAGCTTTCACCGTCATGTCCTGTTGGAAGGTTGACAAATTATTTATTAGATTTGCCAACTATGAATCTAGACAGGATTTTTATCCTAGCTCTAATTTTTGTAATGATCATTTCGCTCTTTATATTACACGTTGCAATATCAAGTTGAAATTTATAGATACTTTCGGCATGTCTTCTCAACGTAAACGCTGCAAGGAAAGGTCGCCAGAGGGGTATTAACTTACAATAGTTTTTAATTACATTGCTGAATTTCCATTTTTCTTACACTTTTTCTTCTTAATAAAAAATATTATAGTTATCATCAAATTTATATAGACGAAACGTATTTTAGATTCAAGATTTTGATAAAAAAAAATATGTAATTAAAATTTCTAGTCAAGTATTACTTATATTATTATACATATATGGACGTGTTTTCTCCTTTGATAGAATGCGCCTCGTGTTAATATAATTAACTCATATTTTGCTACTTATTTTTATGTCGATTGGCATAAAGTATTTTTTGTAGATTTGTAATTGTAATTATTTAAATTTAAATAAAGGTAAATCTTCAATTAGACTGCAAATAATCAAGTGCTGTGGAACCAGGTCTTGTACTGATGTTTCTAAAAGAAGTCGTTCAAATTCAACGTTACGGCATTTGGATACTAATGCATGTTATCCTGTACTTGTATATAGTATTATACTTATTTATTTGATTTAATTTAGATGACAAAAGTCATGATGACCACAGAGACCAATGAGATGAAAGATGATAGAGTTTCTGGCAAGGATCAAACTGAAAATGGGAGCGAGGCTCCTACATTGTCTGACTCAAGTACAGAACCCAATAACCAGGAAAAAATCACTGCAATGCAAGAATCTACGGAATCAAAGACATCTGCCAAGGATGCGTAAATTTAATTTTTGTAATTTATTGACAATTGAAACCGCAAAAAAAAAATAAGGAGCCAGCAAATTACAAATCAGCAGAGTGTTTCTACTATAGAAATGACGGCCTCAACCATTCTAAAAGAGGCGCCAACGTCAGTTACAACACTAGAAATTTCTGATTTCACGTCTTCTTTAAGAGGACAGTCATCAACAGTTCCTTCAACCATAATTGGTGATTTAACTAGCACCATAATGGAAACTTCCAGCACAATTGTAGAAACGACGCAGAGCAGCACCTCTACCATTTCAAGCTCTTCCACAAAAACCAATATTGCAACGACTACAATTCAACCATCTGTTTCCTCGACAATTAAAACTACTATAAAAGAAATTACAACTACAACGACTGCGCTAAAAACAACAACTATTATTACAACTACTACAACAAAAACAACTACTACAGTAACCACTACAACAACAACTGTAAGTGCGGTACCAGAGAGTACCTTACGAACTAAAAATTGTTTCTGATTATTAAATCTCACATTTACAATACAGGTGCCTCCAAAATGCGATTCTTTTGCTTTAGATGTAAATAAGTCGCGTCATATTTTATGTATAACTTTTTAATAAATTTTATATTATATTTTTAATTTAAGGCCAAGGCGTTTGCAGCTGATAAATCTCTGAAAGGTAGAACACATCATGTTCATTTTGTAGCTAATATATATTTTCCTGCATTCTTGTAGATGCTGATCAATATGGCTACTGGTTTAAATCGTGCGGCCTGCAATTTTTAATTGGAAAATCTTTGGTCTCTTTGACAGGACATTTAGAATAACATTTTTAAACAAAAAATACTTCATTAAGGTTAACTGGAAGGAAAATTTCATAAACTGCTCCAAAATCGGAATGGGGCCGATTTCTTTGGAAAACTCTACAATCCAAAATTGTTTCATCAAAACTATTAGTTGAAATTAGACATACAATAATAAATGAAAAAAAGAATAATACTTTTGCTTTAAGGTCAAGGTTGGCCATACGCATTAAACTTCTGGACTTCAGCGTACCGAGTCAACTCCACGACCTTTTCTTGGTGTACAAAACAAGGGACGTTGGAAGTAAAAATCCCTAAACCTCTCTGGGCTTTTCAACAACCAGATAATTTAAACGGCAATCAAAACTGTCTGCAAATCAGCGTCTCCAAGGCGAATTCATCTTTTTTACTATCAGATCGAGTTTGCGCTGATAAATTTTTTATGGCCTGTCAGGTAAAATCTATATAGAAAAAAATCTTAATTTCCTTATTATTATTTTCTAATTTATATTTAATTCATTGCAATTCAGGGTGTCACAACATCACCAGCAGTGTGCACAGTTCCGACGTGTCCAGATCTGCCGTGCGAAAAAAACGTGATCATTAAAGCATCCAATTTTCTTTTTACTAATTACAATCTATATCAGATGTCGATGTTCATAAATTCTACACAAGGGACGTACTTGTCAGGTTTTTTGCCTCATCAATCATAAAAATTAGATTGATCAATATCACATTATATTTTCAAGGGCGCAGCCAAATCGGACAGTGGTTCAGTCTGAATGGACGCACATACATGTTCAGCTATAGCTTTGTCACAAAAAATGTCAGATAAATAAATTATTACAATAAAAAAAAATATTTATATTTGCTAGCAAATATTAGTACAATGATGCCGCTCAAGAGTGCTGCCAAAGAGGAATGACTCTACTTAGTCTTGAGCGCAAAGACAAATATGACACAGTGATCAAAGCAATTAAAAGTATTAACATGGAGAGCAAAAATAATATACTGAACACCGAACACTGTCTATTAAAAAATACCCGTAGCGTTAAACTCTACAGGAGATTATTATTGGACATCAGGAACTGACAACGGTTGTGAATCAAAATTTGGATTCTGTACAGTTAAAAGGCTCTTGAGAAGCGACGCAATTTGGGCACCTGGACAGCCGGACAACGCTAATGGCAATGAGAATGTGCTCGCGGTTTTCTTGAACACCACTCACGCACAGCTATTTGATTTTAACGAGGGACAGAATTTTAGATTCATATGTGAAGTACAAAGTTTAAAATATTTTCACCTGGGCTCAATAAAAAAATATATGTCAATCATGTATCTAGGCCCGCGAGATAATAAACGCAACGTCAGGAGGACGAGCCGTCAGCGATGAATGTGCTATAATATACAACGTCGTGCAAAGTAAGTAAAGCTTAATGAGCGCTTCATATATTTATTTTAATGAAAAAAATATTTTAATATCATTTATCAATACATGCATTTCAAAATGAAAAACTTTCACTGCTCTTTTTTCAATCATTGCAAGAGATTAATTGGCTCTATTTTAATTGAAACAAATTTAAACTTTTTTTCTTCGCATAAAAACGTTTTTATGTTAAATTGAAAAAAAAATGTTTTTTTTTTTAAATTAAAAACGAATGTCTAATTATTATATATCCATTCTTCTGTTCTTGCAGAAGAAATTGACGAGCTTCTTAATAATACATTGAAGTTGGATGTTCGTCTTAAGGTATTTTTTAATTGATCGAGATAAAGAAAATAATCTGAATTTTTGACAGTGCTTTCTGAGGTGTATTGGAGAACAATATGGACTGGCAAGATCCCTTCAGAGCCTGGTCATGCAACGCTTTTAAATTCTAATCCAATTTTAGATCATAAATGGAAAATACATAGACAACACGATCATGGCATTATTGGAGGAGATGGCTGGTGGAAATATGAACGACCTAATTAAGAATGTGGCCGTTGCAAATGAATGTGGAAAAACACCGAGTATGATTAATATACTTCCATTTTATATTTCTTGTTAGTTGGTTTTTTTTTTTTTTTTTTTGCTAGCCGGAATGGACGAATGCGATATGGCAGCAGAAATAATTAGGTGCAGCTATGAGAAGTCCCCAGACGTTTTAAGAGCAGTGATTACAGCTGTGGACGTTGCAACAACCATTGTAAATTAGCAATAATTAAATATTGATATGGTTCTATAATTGGGCTCAAAAGCAAAAATATGCTAATCCACCAGAAGATGTATGCCCACCCACAACAGGATATGCAGTCAATGTAATATTTTTTATAATATAACTTTATAACTTGATAATTATAAGAAAAAATCAATCTATATATTTTGTTCCGAGAGCAATTTATAATTGAAACTATAATTCAACAGACAGACCTGCTTACTAAGATAAGAAATTGCAAGGGTCGTAAGTCTTAATGATTATTTGTTTAATTTAGAAGCGGGACTAATTTAAAATAAAAGAACGATTATGCTCACTGCAAGAGGGCTACGTTTTTGCAGCCTGTGGCAAAACATGGCTACATCGAATGCTTCTTGTATGCGCAGCGAGTGAAGACAGAATGATAAAAGTAAAATAAATTTGTTTTAGGTTACCTTTAATGAAGCATTCGAGGTGTGTGACGGCGTTGGAATGAAAGTGGCCTCAATAGGTAGTCAGGATGAATTGGAATGCATTTTCAATAGTTTCTGTAAGTTAATTGAATTTTTTAATTTATATCAAGCATTATGAAATTTCTAATAAATATGCTAAATTTTTTGAAAATCATTAGGTAGAATATGGCCTTTCTAAATACATAACTTCAAATGAGAACTTCTTGTCCACATTTTTTCCCTTGATTATCTTTTTCACTATTTAACAGAGCTGTAGACTCAAACATGATCAATTTAAAAATTAATGAAAACAATTGAATCTTCAGTAAAAATTATTGTTGTTAATTTTTCCACAAAAAATTATCCAATTTTCTTAAAAAAATTATGAAAGATTTCAATATGCACATGACGGATTAGATGGGGCAACCAAAAATAGTAATGAATTTGCCTCTCCCTCTGAAGATAACTTTTGCAATTATTATGTCACATTGTTCTTTCTAATAATTTGTTATTATTTTTAATTTTTTTAAATGTTCAATAATTTAAAAATACTTTTACATAGTCCATCCGAAAACATTCTTGAATGCATGGATAGGTGCCTATGACCAAAACGGTGACGGCTTCATTCGTTGGTGTTCATCTAACTCGACCTTTACCGCCCAAGGCTACAGTGGAGCAATTTTTGGACAAATTGGAGTCGGTGGCGCATACACTATAATCGTGGCAAAGAGGCAGCTTAAATTTTATGATTCAAGTTCATACGCCAGTACACTCTGTAATTGATGTTTACAACATCTTTTCTAAAAATTTCAATAAGGGGAGTGTGAAATTGAATATTCTGAGGTTTTATGTTAATTTATAACCATATAAATTCATCACCAAATCACCAAATAATGATTTCATGTAAATTTTTATCAAACCAGGCAGTTATGGAAATTTTCTTTATAATAAAAATTAAACTGCAAACAGCAAAAAATAAATAAAAATTGATTTGATTGGAAAGAAATATTTTATTTTTTTGAAACTTCATTCTTAAGGACGTAAATTTTCTTCTTGACAAGAAATCTAATGAAATTTATTATTTTATAATCAAATGAATATCTTGAAAATACACATTCCGAATATTTTTAATTTTGAACCGAGTGATTTGTTTTCAGAAATGAAATGAGAGCCTAATACAATCATGAAATACGAAATATTAAAAACAAAATTATAAAAATTTCTTATTTAGAGTACAATGAAATTGTTTTTAAAACATGCTTTTACTACAGCCATATAGGAAAGTTTTAATTATGTGCCATGCACCACCATGCATAATCAATTAATTGTTGAATTAAAAATTACGCAAATTATTATAATTTTGAAATAGTCAAAACAGGCATATGATTAGGGTTTTTTCTTCTAATTAAAATGCATTATTATGTGCGCATATAAGTTTAAGATTGGGATTGGATTCATCAAAATTTCAAGTGAGATTTTTTGCATCATATTATTTTTTATAGTTACCTTTTGACGCCAAAAATTTGAATAATAAATAAATAAGTAATAAAAAAACAGGGATGAAATTGAAATGAATTGTATGTTATACTTTTTTATCCATTTAAGAATCCTAAAATTCAAAGGTTTCGTTATACCAAAGAAAATAATGGAAAAGTTGTAAAGGTGTTTCAACTTAAAAAATTCATCTAAACCTCTATGCTAAGTCGCCGTGTGTAAAAATAATACGATTCAGGAGGCTTTAGAGGATTCTCTCCTATTGAAAAAATTTATATTGTGTATCTCTTACCTCGCTTGGTTCCGATGTTCTGACTTAATTCTGCGAGCAGTGCGATCGTGCGGTCCATAGTGCGAGTGACCTGAGACCTGAGTGACCTGACTCAAGGGTTCTGTAAAACACGTTCATGACCCCACGTGAAATCGAAACAACAACGTTCGATTCTCGAATAAAGCCAAGAGACACAGACACTCCACAATTCCACAGATTTTGAGAACTTTTTCTCCCTCGTCCATTACGAAAAAACTTCGTACAAAAATACGTAATAAATATTTTTGCTCTTTTGCTCTCCGCTCTCCTCGCGACCTCCGCCCAACAAAACTGATCCTCCTCCTTTTAACAACGCGCGCCGTGGTCACGTGACTGAATTGTTTTCCTTTTCACCGCACCGCGTCAAAACAGCAGCAGAGGTTCGTCTGGGTCTGGGTTCTCTAGAGAGCAACAACTTTTTACTGTAGCAAACGAGCAAAACAAAACTCATGTGGTGAGGATACGCAGAGAGTATCAAAACGATTTTTGAAATTATTACGTATGCAAATCTTAAATTTTAGTCTTTTGGTAGATTTTCTGTACTGTGTTTGGAGGAAAAAATAATATTGCCTTCTCGAGAACCAGAGATTTTTGACTGTGTGTTTAAATTATCATCCCCCGTGTTTTCATTTCACAGGCCTATTATTTGCCTTTTGGGATAAAATATCATGGAAGAAAGTCAGCCAACTCCAACTATAGAGAAAGCAAAGGCAATTTCTGGACTTTCTTCAGATGTGGCCCATAAAATTTGCTCTGATCGGGTGAGAATAAAGAGACCACTGTTGAGGTTTTAATTTCAATAATATTATTTTCCTAAAGGTCATTGGTAGCATTGGAGTAGCTGTCAAAGAGTTAGTGGAGAACAGTCTCGACGCAGGAGCAACAAACATTACAGTGAGATTGAAGGGTCATGGTTTGGAAATGATCGAAGTTTCTGACAACGGCAAAGGCGTCAAGGAAATCGACTTTGAATCTCTAGGTTCGGCAATCTTAATATTTTTTCTTAACAATCAATATGATTGAATATTTTATACTTTCAGCCAAAAGCTTCCACACATCGAAGCTGAGTGAATTTTCTGACTTAGACGCCATCGGGACATTTGGTTTCCGAGGTGAGGCATTGAGCTCCCTGTGCCGAGTTTGCGATGGCCTTGAAGTGGTCACCAGACATGAAACTGCAGACTCTGCCATCAAATTGAAGTATGACGCTGCTGGTGACTTAGTGGAAAGGTGCCCTGTTGCCGGAGAGGTATTTTCTTTCTTCGTCAAATTATTCTAAAATTTAATTCTTAAATTTCAGACCACCGGTACTAAAGTTACGCTTAAAAATTTGTTCGGAACTTTGCCAGTCAGGAGAAAAATTTTTCAAGAGAAATCTCAAATCGAGTTCGCTAAAGCCCTTAACCTGCTGCAAGCCTATGGTATTATCTTAGATGGAGTGAAGTAATTTTATTATATTTTGTTGATAAACATAAACTAAATTTATTAAACTAGGCTTCAAGTATTTCATCAAGTAGCCGATGGCAAGGAGAGCAAAAACATGGCCCATTCTAATGGCACCAGTGTAAAAAACAACATGATCCAAATTCTAGGCCCTAAGTTAGTGCAGAATCTTCTGGAAATTCGTAGCAACGGAACTCACTCAAGCTTTGAAATTGAGGGTTTTATCAGTTCTTGTGCTCATGATAAAGGCCGAAGAGTTCCCGACAAGCAGTACTTTTACTTGAATCGAAGACCTGTTGATATGCCACAGGTAAAATATAGAATTTATTATTAAAGTTTTCAATTATTTATTTTTAAATTGAAATCTAGATATCAAAGTGCATCAATAATATCTACAAACAATTCAACAAACATCAGTTTCCTTTGGTAGTTCTTCATGTCACTACCAAAGTCACAGAATCTGTCGACGTTAATTTGGCACCCGACAAGCGAAGCGTTATAATTAGAGATCAAACGTCTCTGCTGTCTTTGGTTGAGGTACTAAATTTGAAAATAGTTCTATTGCTTTCAATTGACTAAATTTTCATTTCAGGACACATTGCTCAAACTTTATGAGGACATTCCAAGCGAGGTAGATCTCAGTAGCTCTATTTCAACAAAATGCAAAGAATCCAACAGCTTTTTTGAAAAATTTTCCTTGCAAAAGAGAGCCAGTGAGGCAACTCCGCCAGCAACTAAAAAGCCCCGATTTAATGTTTATGAATCTCCTTCGTTGAAGCTTGAAAGTTTCTTTTTCCGAATGCCTAAAAGGTCCATCACAGAGTCTGCAGAGGCCAAGATGCCACCTCCTCAGTCACCGTCCAGTTCTAAAGGTGCCAGCTTCAGCACAGAAAAACTACCTGCAGAAGACATTTGCATAGAGGAACCAAAATTTTCCGGATCAATAGGTGCTGGAGGCCGCTCAGAACCTATAGAGCACAAGACTGATTGTGATTTGGAGACTTCGGAAAGCCCTCTTGAAATGCAGGTGAAATCGCCAGAGACGAACAGTACTCCTAATACAGGTTGATTTTTAAAGTTTTATTTTCAGGATTAATCTCTTTTTTTTAAATAGGAAATCCATTAGCAAGATTCAAATTGTCGAGGAAATCTTCAAACGGAGGTGCTTCAAACTCTAACGAATCTAAAACTGACATAAGCTCCGCTAAAGATATAACTTTGAATTTTCTTCTTGAGTCTCTAAGTGGTTCTGGAGAAGCAGGAAGAAAGAAACCGAGTGCAGAAATAAAATTAGAGGAAGAAGGATCATCCTGTGACTTAAAACCTTTAGTAGCTAAAGAGGACCAAAGAGAATGTAAAGACTTAGTTGGCAAATCTACTGATCTTGTTCCATTGGGCCATACATTTACGGCCGGTCTGGATCCCAATAAGAGTAGGCTTGCTGAGGAAGAATTCAACAGGGTTTTTCAAAAAGGAGATTTCTTAAAGGTATTTTGTTAATAGGATTTACAGTAAACTGTAAATAACATTTATTAATTTTATTTTTTAAATATCCAGATGAAAATTATTGGCCAGTTCAATCTTGGGTTTATTATTGCAAGCCTAAACGACGACGTCTTTATCATCGATCAGCACGCATCAGATGAAAAATTCAATTTTGAGCGGCTTTGCAAAAATACAAAAATGAAGAGCCAGCGCCTAGTGCTGTAAGAATTTTAATCTCTGAATTTTCCCTACCATTAAAATTTCCATTTTTGTTCTTTTAGGCCCATGAAGTTGAATCTCAACGCCCCTCAAGAGTTAGTTTTCAACCACCACTCAAATGTGTTTAGGGAAAATGGGTACGAATTCAAGATCTGTGATACAGGTTATTATTTTAAGCGAATATTTTCTGCTGTATTTTAATTTCCAATTTAAAGCTCCTGCTGGTCAGAAGGTTCAGTTGACGGCTGTGCCATCTTTACTGCACGCAACCTTTGGACAGGATGATGTTCTTGATGTGATTTATCAGCTGCAAGATTCTCCATACAGCCAAATAAAGAGCAAAAGGGTTCGATCGATTCTTGCATCTAAAGCCTGCCGCTTTTCTGTAATGTTCGGAAAGTCAATGAGCCACTTTGGAATGAGGCGATTGGTTGAAAACATGGCAACGATGGATCAACCCTGGGTAAATAATTTAATCTCTAAAGTATAAACAATAAGTTATTAATAATTTTTCTTTAGAACTGCCCCCACGGGAGACCTACTATGCGGCATCTCTTCAATCACACGTTGCTTGCAAGTCAGTTCAGCAAGAACAGTGAAGTCGTTAAACAAAAACCAAATTTAGGAAAAATCAAGTTGATTAAACCTTAACATTCCCTGTTATTGTATTAATTTTTAGTACATTTTATAGTAGTTTTCTCATCAGCACCAATCCATGTTTTATTATTGCAAGTTTTAACTGTGTTATACATACATTTTATTATTTTGTATTTGTATCTTCAAATAAAAATTCGACTGCTTTATGATTTAAAAGAATTTTTAATTTAGGTAATTATTGTATAAAACATTACAAATTTGAAATTATAAAAAAATTTATTATCACATTATCAACTAAGCTTCTCTATACCAACACGCGCTCATCATAGGCGGCGCTCTTGTCTAAAACACGTGTGAGCGTGGAATTGTAAACAAAAAGTAAAACAGTTCGCAGTTTCGCACGTGTTTGTCAGACGGTTAATCGTTTTTCCACATAAATTTATAATTTGGGTATATGTATTGACTAAATATCAATAAGCTGCACTCGATTGTGCAATGTAGAATATAGCCAGCGCTTTCATTGATCTCTGAAAAATAACAACAAAAGTTGCTGTTTACAATCATCGACATTTATATTAAAACCGGGAAGAATTATGAACGAGTTTTTGTAGCAAAATTAGGCAGCGCATAGTTTGAAAGAGTTTTTCAAGATTTTTCTTTAAATTTATTACTGAAAAGATTTAAAAATTATAGATTTTATTTTTGAAATTATTTTTCTTTTTTAGGGGAAGAATGGCTGACGAAGATGATAACTATGATTGTTACATGAAGGAGTGCAGCCTGTTGAGTGCCTCTGAAACAGTGAAGGACCTGAGCTCTGCAGAACAAGCGTCAACTAGTCAGAACTTCTCTCTGAAAGACACCATCAGCATAGCAGAAAAACTGAAAGATTCCGGCATCGAAAATCGCGGCAGCCCCTTCGAATCTCTGGAATGCATGACAGACTTTTTCACTCAAAACCCAAAACTTAACCCCATCCTTGCCAACATGGACAGCTCAAGGAATGTTGACAGGAACAAAATGGGCCAGTTCTTGTGGCACAGTTTCTCGAAAAGAGCTGCATCGAGTCACTCCATCGTAGTCAAGAAAACTGATGAACCAAAGAAAAATCAAAACTGTAATGTTTTCTTCTCTGAGACTCCCTCTGAGGCGTGGACGAACATAAAGGACCTGCCAATATTTTTTGCCAATGAAGAAGAAGACCAGCAGTCTGATAATGGAGTGGAAAAGGAAATTGATGGTCTGCTGAACTCCCAATCAATGATGGAGAGCGATGAGAAAATTAGTGTGCCTGAATTTTTGGAAGAGTGTCGGAATTCTCAGAGTGGAGTTTTTACACCGGAATTTTTGTCCCGCCTGTGTGTCCAGTCAGAGGCCCATTTAGCAATGTTGCTTGCCTCCTGCTGCAATTCTGACTTGTACATTCCACTTTTGCTCGACTCAGCAAAGGAGCAGGTCAAACTGATCCGCCCTCTCTGTGAGAAGATCCTCTTGCCTCTGTCAAAACGGAACAACTTCGACACCACCATTATAGGGAAAACCTGCTTGTTGATAATAACTTTCCCAATGTTGATGTCTGCCCACCTGCTGGTGCCACTCGTACAAGAATACGTGGGTGGCGAAAACCTGGCCATTAAACTGACCAACCTCTGCGAAAACGAAGATGTCAAGCACACCCTCCTAACCTGTTTGCTCAATTCGGACTGGACCGCCAAGAAAACCGACCTGGACCTTCTGCAGTGCCTACTGGGGTCGACGGTGCCCAAAGACCCGGTGGTTGTCCAGCTTTTGTGCCAAATGTTCAAGAACGCGGACACTGACCTGAAAAGCAGCCCAGATTTTGCTAAACTGCTGCTGCAGACTATCAAGGTCATCAGGAGCGACCTGAATGCCGAGTGTCGAGAACTGCTGCGTGCTGCCATTGCAGAGGTCAAATTGCCGCTGAGGTCTTTGATGGAAAAACAGCTGCAATAAACAAAACCTTCAAGAATTCAAAAAGGTAAGAAAAAAACTTTTTTTGGCTGAGTTAGAATTTTAAGAAATTTATATTTATTATCGTTTCAATAGAAACAATTAGATTACACAGGAAGATTTATATTATAGTCCATGGTATAGTCGCTTGGACAAAATGTGTTAAATTTAAAGCATATTTGTATAATTTGAAAGTGTCTTTTTTCATGGCCAGCAAGAAACTTTGATTATTTCTCGGCAAGACTAGTAATCACAGAAATACACTGAAAATATTCAGACATTTTAATTTAATTTGCCAGAAGAAACTGTGCGAAATATGGCATTTTAAAGTTATGCATTTGGTAAAAATACTTAGGAAAATATGACTTTTTCCATCCATTCATCGAATGTGAAAACAGCCTTGTTAGTGCCTCTAGGATCACGCTCTTTAAACATGTCTGGAAATTTTAAAATAATGAATAGTTTATCCTGCTAAAAGAATTCATATACCAATCATGCACCGCAGTCTGACAGCACAAGCAATGAAATCGTCAAACGTAATCTGGCCTTCTTTGGTTCCGTATCTATGCATGAGAACGTTCAGAATTCTGTAATTCAGCTGATAACCGGCGGAGGCAAGTGCTTCGCGTAACTCAAAGTTGCTTAGCATCCCTGAGTTGTTCTTGTCGTAATCCTTGAATACTCTCTGCCAAGCATAGAAGTAAATTTATTTTTCCAATTAAAATTTATTTCGTAACTTACTCTCCAGTTACCAATGTCCAACCACAGCGTTTTGAATTCCTCATAACCAAGTTTGCCAGACCTGTCGGAATCCATCATTGCCACCATGCTGCGGCAAATTTCCTTTGAAAATCCTCCCCGTTGAATGAGACTAGCAGGGCCAATAGAGCACCGTTGTAAATCTATTCCCAAAATTTAATTGGAATTTCAACAAAAAATGGATCAAATTTAATTATTAAATTTATTTATTATTCAGAAGTTTATTTTTAAAAATAAATTTAGATAATTGTTATGCTAAACCTTTGTTAATTGCTAGATCCAGGACGTTTTTCAATTCCATCCAGTCGACTTCCATGTCCTCTCCTGCAACCTCCTTGAAGAAGGCCTTAACTTTATCATCTAGCACAGAGTTCATCGGCGATGTTGAAATCTTTGAATTGAAATAATAATTTGAAAATAGGATGATGCGTTAAATTTTAGAAATTTTGCCTTGTTAGTCGTCATCTCTAAAAATCCTATGCATCTGTCATTTTCCCTGCGGAGAAAACGTTTAATTTAATTTTATTCTATTAAATATTATTTCTATTATATACTCGAGTTTGTTTGTGCTCTCGGAAAAGATTCGAAGCAAAAATTCTCCTTCCTCGTGGGGGTCGAAGGTGGAAGGGACGATGCAGTAGGTCCCTGGGACTAGACTGAACCTCTCTGTGACCTCACGTTGGTTCACAAATGCTCTGCACCTGCGAGTCGAGACATTGTCAAGGAAAAATTTGTCTGGAAGAGGCTTAATCAAGCTACTCGCTTCGTCCAACTGTATATTAAAAGAAAATTGTAAAATTTAATCAATTTTGATCAAGATTTCATATTTTTATTTTTAATTACTTGATAAAGAACAAAGCCGATGTTCAGACATTGGGCGCCCATTTTCCGTTGGACCCTGCGATTTTTCTGCATCAGGGCTACAATCACGGTGCACTCGGCACTCTCGGAGGACTGGTCCAAAGTCACCCTGTACTGCGGGTTGAAGCAAAACGTTTCTGTAACCCATTCACGTTAAAATCAAGTTAAATATTTATTTCCTTTTAATTTCATCACTTGGGTAATTTCTGCAGCCACCGGCCGTGACTCCTCTGACCCACTCGCCTTCAAAAACGCTCATTTCCCACTTTTTCTTGCCCTCCGTGTTCTGGATGGAGTGAGGACTGAGATTACAAATCTCCAGCCGAGTGAAGTATTTCACGAAATCGCGAAAAGACATCCAGAATTCGCCGTCGGCATCAAAAGTCAAGCCAATTCTCTTTTGCTCTTCTGGCGGAATGAACTGCCACTCTGGAGATCTATAATTTTACTCTCAATTTTAATATTTAAAACTATATTTAAAAAAAATCCCGCACTTATCTGACCAAGCGCCGTTCCATTCCACTGCATTGCCCCACGGGTTTCTGAGTCTGATGAGGGGAATTTTCCCAGACACCCTGGGCGTCTTAATGTCCACGTACTGCACCTTTGTGATGCTGTAAGCGTGTCCTTTGACCAACCCCTCGGGTGTTGGTTCTTCAAATTCATCACCAGGCTGATTGATAAATAATTAAAATTAATAAACCGTTTTTTTATTTGATTAAATTATCCACTTCAATTGAGGCTCCTAACAAGGACTGGCGGTCGAAAGAAGACTGGAGCATTTTGAAAAAGTTCATGTCCACGTTGTCCAGTTCGTGCCACTCGGTCACTCCTCCTGTGAAATCCTCCATCGCCTCGCAGGTTGAACCACCCTTCAAAGCCTCATAAGATCCGTGCAATCTTTCGGAAAAAAAACAATAATAATTCAAATAGCTCCACTATTGCCCAGTACTTAGCGTAAGCTTTTTCCAAAAGAGCACTCCAAAACTCATTTTGCTGGCTTGATCGGAGGAAAACTAATTTTCCATCAAAGGTGGGCAGTCGGTCGTCAATTATTACTTCAACCCATTTTCCGTACTGCCAAAATCTAAAATAATTAACATTTTAACGAGGAAACAAACATTTCTTTAAAATTATTTTACTTGAAATGAAATACTCCCGCGTAGCCCTTCTCGAAACATTGATCTTCTGGCACGACTTGGCTGAAAAGGGAGTTGTGCAGCGTCAAATTGGCGAGCGCCGCCAACAACCAGCAGTCAGCTTTTTCATCGGGAAATGACTATTATTTTCTCAGAAAATAAGTTGTTCTTACTTAGCTCTCCCTGTTTGATGTCGAATCTCGAATAACCTTCTACAAACAACCTAGGGTCCTTTACAATTTGCTACAAACGAATATATTTTAGTTTTCTTGAGAATAAATAATAATTTTTTTCCTATAAAATTTAAATTTAATTCAGCTAAAATAAGTAAAATTAATTAATAAAATGTTGCAATTAAGATATTGGTTTATTCTATTCAGTAGCCCCTTTTGGGATAACCAATGCTATATAAATAGCCCAAAAGTCAAAAGGGATATTATTCTTACTGATGGTCGGAGCCACTTGAAAGGAATTGGAGGCGCCTTGCTGTAGAATAGAGACTCAGTTGTGCAAGGGAAATCAGGGTCTTCATAGAGAATTCCTTCTCGTTGACACTGATCTCTAATGGAGTTGAAGTCTTGGGCAGCACCCTTGCGCCAAAACTGGAAAAAAATATTTTCCTTATGTAAATTTTATTCTAATTTTTAGCATTATAAAACTTATCAGGAAAAGGAAAAAATTATTTATAATTATCGTGGATATAATCCTTCTTGTTTTTATTTTCATTAAAATTGCAGCAACCTGAATATACATGTCTGATTTGCACAATTTAACGTACATATCTGAAGCATGCGGGCGCAATCAGGCCGGCGCCACTTTGAAGTGCCGTCGCCCAACATGATTTCTGATTTCTCCGTGACGAAGCAGTTTCTGATTTGCTTTACTAACAACTACTAGAAAAATATTTAAATTACGGTGACGGTTTCGCAAACAAATTGGTTCCTCTGGGGATCTGAATATATTTGCAAAATTGCCAAAATTAGAGCTAATTGCACCCCTCACGAGCAGGGTAACGAGTTTGTGCTTTTTACACTGAAAACCTCTTCGTTAATTAAATTTGCAAATCCCCGAGGTGTGGTTAGGTGCAATTTGCACGCGCGTGACGTGCTGCCTGTAGCTTTATCGACGCGTCATAGGCAACCGGGCATTCGCGCCTCGCTGGTTGCATAATTCGCACTACCCTGGTGCCGACTCGCGCAGCATGTGGCACATTGAATTAGAGATGCCACTTTCAGTAAGAGAGTTCTATACACTCTGATTGTTTCGCAAGCTGCTCGAATGACCGAGGAAAAAAGCGCTGTTTGTTGCCGGGCATTACTTAAAATAAATGGGATATCCAACAAAGTCCAACTAACAAAATATTTGCACAACGCTGAGCAACAGGTGAAGTAGATTTCTAATACCACTTTTCTTTTTTGAAAAATTAGTCTTCAAAGTAAAAATGGAAAAGCTTTCATAAAAAAAAAAACAAGAATTTGCCTTTTCGTTGATTACTTTTAATATTTCAAAATTCTTAAAAATTCACTCGAACCTGTTTGATTTTTAAAATTATTTTTGAATGTCAAATTTTAAATTTTTGAATTTGTTTAAACATCAGCGCTATTTATTTTTATTTTGACATGCAATTAATATGATAAGAATAAAGTGACCGCTCAAAAGCTAAATTTAATTGCTAAGTGTAATTGATAATCTAATTCTTAAACACTCCCATTTTTTTCCTTGATTTTGTTTTTCGCTTCTCATACCCTATTAGTTTGGGTCTATAAATAAAAACAGCACCTCTGTCTCTTACTCACAGACAACTCTAAATCAGAGTCGTCTAATATGAAACAAAAATTATAAACAGAACCTTTGATCTGCTCTGCTTGACCGCAGCGTCGTCCACATCCTTATCCTTGAAGCCCCAATTCCGGAAGGCCGAAAGAGCCTGGTCGCTCCAGATGCTCCACGAACCCAGTTCTCCGAGCCCTTTCTTCTCAACCACCCGTTCGAGGGCCATGTCTCGGGCCAAAATAGAACAAGATAGTGCGGCGCTGACCACGGTTGCGAACCGAGTGACGGACGGACACACGAGTCAACTCGACTTTTGTTGTAGTACGCGTGCGAGGCGGCGAACGGGCGAGCGAATTAGCGCCGACGCATTCGCTTGAAAGAAATTAAGGGACAAAGAAAGCCCTTCCACCCCTACTGCAGACGGGATCGTCGCTGGCGCCTGTCTTGACTTTCCATTTGGGCTTAATGGACCAGAAAAAATGGCCTTTGGCATGTCAATGGCATTTGACAGCAACACACTTGCTTACAAAGCAACGGAAATTTTTAAATGATAATTTAGCTGATTTTATTGATTTTTTCCCTTTTGAAGCCATCCTTTTGTATTTAACAAGTGATATGATGAAACATGAAACTTGTTTTAACGTTCGGCCATTATTGATCTGCTCTAGAGCCTATGTGCAAATATTGGCCCAACGATATCGTTGGAACTACAGGAAAACTGAAACGAAACGTGGAGGGGGAGGGAAGTGTGATACCACAGCACGGCTGGCTATCAACCATAACTTTGACCAGGTTTCCTTTGTCGAAACTTTCCACTTCACCGCAGACGGGCAATTTATCAATGATATTGAAAAAAAATCAATTCTTTGAATTTAAGCATAGAAATGGTTTTATTTAAAATTAAATTTCGTAATTCGGAATGATTCATTGATCAATAAGTGTTCCTCGGGGTTTTTTCAAATTGATAACAACTTCCGGTTGATCAGATGTTTCGACCTCTCTTTTAGTTCCTTTCTTCCTCTCCAGCTGCTTTTCAATGATCCTTGCGTTATTAGCATAAGAATCTGCAACTTCTCTCTGAAAAAAGTAGATTGGCAAAATCAGTTCTTTTTTTTCATATAAATTGGGAATTGAGGATTATAATTCCCATGATTTAAAATAAATTCATAGTAAGAACTGAACAGAATAAAAAAAAAAAAAAAATTTTTGAGCGAGTAATAATTGTCAATAAGAATTTGACAAATTGCAATAATTATAATGGTAACTTCATTTTAAGTTTAAAAACCTTGCCAAAAGTATCTCTTACAATAAATTTTAGCCAGATATTATTCAAATTGAGATTTGATTAAACTTTTGATAAGAATTCATGATAAAAAATAATTTAAATTACCGCTTCTATTTCGTCCTCCTCTTCGTCGATGGTGGACACGGTGACTGACGAAAACTTGCCCATGTTTTTGGTATGTTTGGTGACCATGACCTTCTTAGGCGTCTTTGCCTGCAGGGCAGTCTCTGCCTGCGAGTAGAAGTCCTTGATTGGATTTTCGCCGGAACTCTTCAGAGCGCCTCGGACAATGAAATGCACTGCGCTCTTCGGGTCATGTTTGTAGTACAAAGGGAGGCTGCACCTGATAAAAATATTAAATTTTAATTCTGCCTGGCTTATGAAGCAGCAAATCTCACTTTTTGCATTTGAATCTAATCTGCCTTTCGATTCCCTCTTCTCTCTTGATGTGGACCGTCTCGCCGGGGTCGCAAGTGATTTTGTGTGCGTGTTTGCTTCCGTCCACCACTCGCGCGCCGTCTCTTTTCCGCAAAGGCAACTTTTCCACTTGGCAATCTGCGGTGAATTTGACAATAAGAAACAAATTTTTTGAGTTAAAACTTTCGTATTATACCTAATATGAGGGTCATTTGTCCGCAGAGGCAAAAGTAAGTCCGCAAAGGTTTGTCCACGCCGTACTCCTCCTGGTCTTTGGCGTCGGAACAAACAATACTTCTTGACACGACCTTCGGCATTTTCGAAACTTCTTCAAAACGTAGATTTCTTCAAGAAAATAGTTAAAGAACTTCTAAACACAGAGTGCTGTGTTTCTGGAACTGGGGAGAAGGCAAATAATAACAACAACAATAAGCATGTGATTGCTTTTATTCTCGACGGATTATTGGATGGTGCTGCCATCGCGTGCAAACTAACTGAAGTAGCTCTACGATAAAGCGAAGCATTCACAGCACAAAAAATATTGGTTTTCCTCAATGGATATCATCAGTGCAATAATATTTTAAAATATAGTTCAAATTTTTATTGATGTTTCCGCGCAAGTCTTTATAAAATCAGTAAATTTTTTTTCTGTGGATTTTTGGAATATTTTTTTTGTAAGTAGGTAAAAATACTTAAAAGCTTAGGAGCACTTACAAGTATACAAATTTTCTACTTAATGAAAATACCTTGTAAATTATTAAAAATAAGCGAGCGTCTATATTGAAAAAAAGTAATAAATTTAAATCGTGTATTAATTAGTAAGTTTCAATTTAAAAATGCTCAAATTTCTAGTTGGCTTTTCTCAGTGGGCTTTTTAGGCGTCTCTTGAATAATCGAAAAAAAACTTATAATTTAATTCTGTCAATTTGTTTTGGCTGCAATAGCTCATTAGCTGTGAATAATTCTAATAAAAATACTTTTGTACATACATTAATTCAAAATATCTCAATTACCTTTTTTCTGCCCAAAACATTTTAGTTTCATTATAATGAAAACATTTTTCACTTATTACTTTCATCACCTTATTTCATTTCTATCCTTATATTGTAAAAAAAATTAAATTTATCCACAACAATGATCGTAGTTTTAAAAATAATTTTTTGCCTAGATATTAAAAGTTTCTTTCATAATTAATGGTTTCTCCATTTAATATCAATATTGATTTGTATAGTAAAAATAAATTTCCAATTTCGTCATAAAGTCGGCTCTGAATATATGAAATGCTTGCATATATATTTTTTTTCAATATGCTCTGCGGCGCCCTTCGCCACTTTTCGCCCCCTCGTTTGTGCTCACAGAGACCAACAAGGGTGTAACGAGATACGCACACGGGGTAACCTCCGCGAGCAATGTTATTTGTGATGATGGAGTTGTTATTGCACAATGGACCGCCGCTCTCTCTCGTTTCGACTAACTCTTGTCGGAGTAATAAAAAACTGCTGCTCCGCTTGCAATGCGCATTGCATAAAACATTTTTTTCATACCAAGCTTTCGTCTATGCGACTGTTTTATTATTTCAAAAGTGGGGCAGTAAAAAAAGAAAAAAATCTCTGACGTATATATTTTGTAGGAAAAATAAATATGGTTTTGTGTTGTGAGGCAGTGAGGAAATTTATTCGTCAGAAAAGTGAATAATTTTTATATGTTATGTGCGTTTTCCGTTGTTCGGCCAAACACAAAAGGCACAAAAAGTTTGCTCATAAAAAATAACTCTATATCATGAAATGGAAAAACGATATGAGTGTGTAATTCTGTCAAAAAGTGAGCAGTGGCAGCTGTCAAAAATGATAAAAAATGGCAATCATTGTGTGATGTCGTAAATCAATATAGATATGGCTCATTCTGCTAAAAAAAAGTTTTCCCATGTAGCAAACTTTGATTGGTTAATTTTGTGATATTTTTTCTTTTTGCATTTAAAAACTTATTAGTTTTTGAAGCTAATTGCAAAGAGATTTCATGCAAGTTTTTCTCAAAATTATTATTAATTTTTTCTAATAAAACAGTTTGGGAGAAAAATGGGGCTATCCTTTTTGAAATATTGATAAAAAAAAATAATATGGTTATACCAGTTTCGGTCATGGTCCTTGTTCCTTTTTCATGAGCAAATGTAGAAATTAAAAATAAAATAAAGTAAAAAATAAAAAACAAACAATACAAACGTCTGAATTATGAAAAAAAAAAATATATATATCGTTCTTTTTTTAATAGTCTGTTGAGCTGAATGAATTATTCAATTTTATTTATTACATATCAGTCACATTTGCTTTGCGCTTCTTTTTATTTTATTAAATTATATGCAGTGAGTTTGCACTATTCGGAATTTAAAAGAAAAAAATATCTTCATAATATAGAGGCGTAATTAGAATTTATTACAGCAAAAACTTGCGACAATTAAAAAATTCCGTTTTTTATTGAGCGTGCAAATTTTCATTTGTTGTAGAAACAATTTATGGCATTCTCCTTCTGGTCTTTTTTATTATACACGTCTGTTTGATCTGCATCATAATAATTGAAATTCAAACAAAAAAGTATAGCAAAAGTATACCCTCATAATGTACGCAACTACGAAAGCAGTAAAAACTGATAAAAGTGTCGCTCTCGGTAAAATATTGTTATTGCCAATTATCCGATTAGGACGTGTAAAGGGTTGAGTGGAAAAGGAAGATGGTTAACAGGCAATGCGATGGTTTCTGGCGATAAGCGCGGCAATAAATTCAGCATCACGCCACTCTCCACGGTGACACTTTGATTAATTCATTCTCCTCGCGGTCGTCCTCTGAATAGCCAAGTAATGAAGCCAAAGGGTGCAGGCTAGAAAAGCAACCCTCTCATTACTGCAGAATTTGTCACACATGCGGTCTTTTTATTCTTTAATTGGCCGCCGAATTAGCATTTATTCGTCCGGCAGGAAAAGCAAATACCAAGTGCAGGTTTTTAATTTAATTGGGGAAGAAGTCGAGGGGAATGATTTTTGAAAAGTAATACGGCGATCAGATGACGCCGTTCTGTCGATGCAATCTGATATTATTTGCGTTTCGATTTAATGAAATTTTACTCAAGTGCAAGTGACATCTGCTTTATACGCAGCACCCGACAAGTCAGAATGTAAAAGCTGACAATGCAGGTGTCAACAGACGGAATGAAATAAACTGGTTTTAATTTACATCAGTTGAAGTTTATTTTATTTTTGATTCATCTATATAATTGAGCCTCTCATGGTTCATTAATAAAGAATAATTTTATATTTTTGATATTTGATATTTGTATGTCCATACCTGGATCAGGTTAATATTAGAATAAGAATCTTATTTGTTAGAAAAATTTACATTTGAGGAGATGATCATGGAAGTGAAGAATCAAGATTATTATTCGCATTAACAAAAATGAATTGAAAAATCTTCTCTAATTTTACAAATGCAATTGATTCTCATTCCATAGTTAATCTGCAAAGATATACCTGGCAATGAGAAGTTCGACTGTTTTCATGAAGTTCTAGATGAAATATTAATTTTTAATTAAAACGTTCTTAAATAAACTTGTTTAACATTTAGGATTAACAATTAAAACTATTTAATCAAACTTAAGTCAACTGTAATCATTAAAGTGTTTAAAAACTATAAATTAAGTTGCCAACAGTTTGAACAGCTTAATTTTTGAAATTGAAAAATTGAGTTTTATAATTTAAAGATTTTTTCGTCGGTTCATGTTTTTTTTTTATTTTAATTATTTGTGACGATTTCTTTGAATATTAATTAACCTTTTGATGGAGAAAAACAACATATAAATCTTAAAATCAAACTTATTTTGGAATTTAGAACCGAAAGAAACCACTCAACACGGGAAATAATTTATTAGTAGTCTCGAATATCTCGCGTCACAAAACTAAATTCCACGTAAAGGCGATTAGTCTAGTTAAGAACTAATGTAAATTAAAAAATAAACTAAAATTAGGCAAATGAATCTGTATATTATTATATTTGCATTTTTCTAATAATGACTATGATATGATATTAAACTTAAATATTTGAAATATGATTTTTTAGTTAAGACATTTACTTCTTTTTGAAACAAAAAAATAATTCTCTATTTTGGAAACAAGAAGCAATAAATTGCAGTTAAACGAAATAAAAATTCGAGGTGCGGACAGCGAGACTTCTGGAGGTGTTCCGTTTATTTCGTCCTTTTTGGGGTATCGCATATAATAAAATAAAAAGTTATGTTCGGAGCAGCGCACGGATTGAAGAGGAGCGCCGTAAAATTAATGTCGCGCGAGGGTATAAAACCGAATATGTGTGACTTGTTGTACGATTATTGTACTGAGTGGTGGACCCATATGGCCTGGGTGCGGCTGAGAAAATCTCTCTCTTGAGAAAAAAGAAATACGAAGCAAATGCGAGCAGGACGCTGGGCGAGCCGCGTGATTGAGAAGCGAGGTGATTTACACGCAGCTTCTGAAAGTGGTTGGGTAATAAACATTGACTGCTGAGAGGGACGATCGCGTCAAGCTCACAGGTGAACGCGGGTTTCGGCATTGATGATGTCAACGTTGCCGAGGGACATCCCAAAAATAAAAGAACTTTCCTATAATTCAATAAATATATTAAAATTTTTAAGTCGATTATTTTTCAAAAGTTTTTTTTAATAATTTTATTTTAAACAATAAAATCATTTAGAAAATTATTTATTTATTCTTTAAACTATTACATGAACTGAAAATAATTTTTTAACTGTTGCAAGATATATTTTATTTGAATAATTAAAATTCAATTATTTTTATTGTAAATTAAAACATATATTATATGTGAAAAGGAAAATTGGTTTGGACATTGATTCAGTTTTAATTTTGGTTATGGAAAATAGTTGTAAATATTTATTGCGCATAAAATTAGGTTGAAGACCATCTTATTTTTGTAATTATAGTAAAATTAAGTAGAAAACAACTGGAATGGAAAACAAGCCAATTTATTTTATCATCTAAATTTTGAGCACAAAACTAATGAATATCTTTTATTGAACCAAAAAATTATTAAAAGGACCCAAATTTTTCAACAACGTGGAAGATATAAATAAAGTAAAAAAAGTGAAATAAAAAAGTAATTATTATTTTAATCTTCATACATTGTATATGTATGAATGTTTCAAAAGTTGTACCCGGATGGGTTTAATAAATAAATAAATTAAAAATTTCATTTTAACTGATTTCAATCAACAATTTGCTCCATTTGCCATTATGGGCTTGCGAGAATGCACCACAATATTTCACTCACAATCAGAAATAAAAATGCATCAGCGAAAGCATACTCGACAATAACATATAATATGGCTCGCTTTCAAACCATCACATAACGATTTTTATTTATTTTATGCGTGCGTTATGGAGAGTTTGTGTCTCTATCATGTTGCACGGCGCGCGAGTTAGTTTTCCCACGAAAGGGACATTCAAGAGAGTGGGCGAGCGAAAGTGTTGTTGCTGCTTTGAAACGTAATATCTCAATGTTTAAATGTGCGCTCCTGCTTTATATAAAGGACCTAAAACACTTTCCTAATGTCCCTGCTCGAATCACTGGCGATAAGAGGTGACGACAAAACGGTCCCTTAGATAAATCACAGCATAGGACCAAAAGAAGTTGATTCTGTTTTATGGTCCCTATACCTGCGTATGCCAGGAAAATTTTAGGGTTTTTAGGATAGTTTAAAACTTCTATCTTAACTTAATGGAAGAGCTAGGAAAAAATACACTATCGGCTGAAGTTGATGATTTTATATCAAAAGACGACTTCTCAAATAAAAGTGAATTGATGAAATTAGCTTAAAACAGCCAAGAAATATTTGATGATTCCTAAATTTTTTATTTCTAAATTCCTTTGAAAAGAATTGATTTTGAAGCGTATAATATTAAGGGAGTATTTTCTTAATTGTTTGTCGAAATAAAAAACAAAATAATTGAAAATTAGGAAACAAATCGACATTTTTTTTATATTTACTCTTTTCAAAAATTAAAATTATGAAACAGGCCCGAAAATAAATAATTATAAAAACTGATGCTGAAAGTATAAAATAAAACTGAGGGTTGAGGATAGCTACATAATTATACATACATGTTGTTATGGTTATTATGGGTTATTATATTTATATATTATAATCAGTGGTCAATTTCACTTAATTTTCTAAACGTTTATTAGATTGCCAATTAAATTTAAAATTTAAATCTCAATAAAACAGAGCATTTCAAACTCTCATAAAAACCAATGAAGCAAGTCAAATACAATTATTTTTTCTACTTAATCCAACTTACGCAGGTCTATGACTTAAAAAAGTCCATTCTTAAATAATATATATTTTTTTCTTCACAGCCAACCTAGTTATTTGTTCAGTAAAATTGATTATTTATTTAACATAATTTTGTTTGGTTGTTTGTCAGAGTGATTGAAAATTGGGTTTATTGGAATGCCAGGGTCGTGCGCGCTTGTCTTGTCATCATGTTCGATTATATGCAAAGAGTTTGTTCGGAGAACCTCACTCACTCTCTCGGCACCATCAATAATATCAACACACGCCGCTGCTTGATAAATAACCCTTTAATGTGCTGCTCATCATCAAATATAATAATTAGGTACGGACAGAGGATCTCCCACAAGGCACAATTTTCACTCACGCATGTCACTGTTGGAGCCTTTTGGGCCGAGCGCCGCCGGAGCATGACTCTCGAGTTCTGTTATGATTGCCGTAATTTATGCATAACTCGCCGGGATCTTATCTTGTTTTCTGTGCATAATACATCTTATTGGGTCTGCTCGTCGCCCTTTCAGTTAATTTCTCAACGGCCCTTGGTTTTGAATGCAAATTTCGGCAGATAAGAGAAAAAGTGCGCGGTCTGAAACAATAAAGCGTAAATTTTATGCAAAATTAAAAAAAAAGTTTTGTGCTTATATTTATGTTTCTGTCATGTTAAAAAGTCTGGCCTCTTTTGCATGCTAATTTTATAATAAAAAATTTAGAACAAAGAAAAACAGAGTCATGTGTGAGGCTTTTATTAAAATCTTGTGACTGTTGTAAAAAGTTAAGACAATAAAAAATCAACCTTAATGAAGCTGAAACTAAAATTTTGCGCTGAAATAATGACAAATTAAGATTAATGAAAATTATAATGCTAGTGTTGCCGCCAGAAACTAATTCACCATAGAAACATTCATACCGCCTAAGTTACCTTATCAGAGTATCACAGAAAACAGCAACTCTATAAGGCCAAGTGCATAGAATTTGAGTCGGAAATGGGAATTATTTTCAGATTTTAAATTATTTAGTGCTGTTGGAATACTTATGGATTGTCTGCTAGCAAAAGTAATCGACTTTGCTAAAAATAAAAAATAAATTGCAAAATTTATTTGGTAATTGATCAAATAATCTTTTTAAAATTCTATTTCAGATTAGTCTAAAAGAGTTCACTTTTACAGCTAGGGAAGAAATAAAGAGAGGAAATCCTCTTCAATTTTCCATACAATTTTTATGATATGAATCTTCCTTCAGCAGCAAGGTCGATTATTTAAGTCGGAAGGTGTGAAAATTAGAGGTGCGAGTTCTACCAGGTTGCGCTTTTTGTTCATGTAAATTTTGGTTTGTATCCAAAATAATAATCGCATAGCTTAAAATAGCAGTGGCGGACGTGTGCTCGTAAAAAATTATGAGGCGCTCACATTTAATTACGCTTTGGGAACACCTCGTGAATATATATACATACCTGCAATTATGCAATCATCGTTGGAAATGAAAATATCCCACGCACATTCACACTCACAGCAGCGAGAAAAGATTTTCTCCAAAAATAGAAGGAAGACTCGCGATGAACCTGAAGTTTGTAATAATTACTATTTTTAGTATAGCTGATTCAAAATCAGTTCAATGGCAGCGGGGAATAGGCTCCTTTGTCCGACACCAATTATCTATTTAATTACGCTCGTGAACCGTGAAGTTGAAATCATCGCGCTTTTTGTACGAGATTTTCCAAAATATTGCCAGCTTTAATTACTATTATCAGCAAATGAATAATTTAAAAACTAATTTAGAAAAAATAGGTGGTCAGCATAAAAATGTGGATTTTTGTTTTGTTTAATAAAAATTTTTTGGAGCTTAAGAAAAATTTATAGAATTTTTTAAATGAATATGCATTTTTTTCCTTTCTTATTAAAATCAAAAGTTTCATTCAATTAATTACATAATATATTAATTATGTTTTTCTTTATGTAAAATCGTTTATATAAGGGCTCAAGTTTTCAATTGTGTTTACTGAAATAATTTGTTGTGGTAAAAAAAGTCGCACCGTCACTTCTTGCCACAGTTTTCCCAACTTTGGGCGCACAAACTTGAAATGGTTTATCTGGCGAACAAAAGCCGCGAGTTGCAGGCCTTAAAGTTTCCCTGTCATTGCCCACTGAACTCTAATCAAAGCGCCGATCTACGCTCACTCTGCAATGATAACTTAAGCAAGCATAACAACTCTGTATGTACACATGTGTGTCATATCACTTGAATCTTATTTTATTGTCTCCGGGTGCGTAAATTTGCACACACCGGCGAACAATAATAATATAACGTTGCTCGAGGGGCGTTTCGATCTTTCAGCTTGCAGAGGTGCGAAGTGTAATTCAAGACTAGCTCCCGGCTTTATATGAACAATTCAATAGCCTTTCAAACTTAAATTAGCTTATTCCATAGTCGGAAAACTTTCTCACTTAGATTACAATTTAACTTTTAATTTTGTTTGTTCTTTTAGAAAATTAGAATAATCTAATGCAAGTAAGTCAATTGACACATTGACAGCAAAATAAATAAATAAATTATATTTTTTTCTTGCAGAGCTGGAAAAAAACAAATTTAAACTTAAATTGCTTATAGTTAGGTAATTTTAATTCAATAAATTTATTGAAAAATTATTTAAACAAAAGAAAAATAGTTGCTGTACAAAGCATAATTAACGTTTTGCTGCATTTCAGTATGTAAATAAGGTAAAAATGCACTTTTTATACGACGTCTGTTTCCTGTTCACCAAATTACCTCCACATAACTTTCCATGCAATAAGTTTCCGCAAAATTCCAGCAGTCAAGCAATGCGCCATTTTCTCTCTAAAAATGAGTGATGAGTGCATTCATTAATTTGGCGACGTGTTCCTCGTTTGTTAGATCATTATGCGACTGACCGTCTCAACAGCAAATTTGTTTCTGCACGCAAACACGCCTGTGTTATCAAGTCGAGCCATGAATGAAAAATTACCCTTGTGCTAATTGGCGTTTCGTCGGCACGTACGCCGGCAGGAAATTATTAAAGAAAATGATTACGCCCTTCGTTCCGAGGGCCAGTGAACTAGAAAATTCGTCCAGAAAATTCTTTTTGTTATCATAAACGATGTTTTTTATACTCGGCGGAAAGTTCTCGAAATTTTAAATAAATTCCGAAGCGAATTGAAAATTTTTACCTGATCCGGTGTGGGAAAGTGCAAAAGAGGAAAATCCCAGCGCTTTTTCCTTTTTTTTTCTTGAGTGAAGAGGTTTTTGTTAAGAACGCTTTTTTGGCGACGCCAAGAGTCCGATTCGAAAGGCGCCAGGCTAACCGCAGCAGGCAGACGATCCCGAGGCCCCCTGAGGAGCAGACCCGTGTCTCGCAGCCTCCCTCAAAGGGCCCGCTCTTGAACCGCGTGCTGTGTCGGCTATGGTCATTGTCAGCACTCGCACAGATTGTGTTGCATACGTATCATGTGTGGCTCGCACAGATTACAGAGAAAAAGAAAAGATGCTCCTTTTTTGCTCTTGGACATCAATATTCCTTTGGGATTCTCTTTCAGCCGCAACTACAAGCATCTTCCATTTATTTCAGATGCATCCACACTCGTTTCGAAACAAGGAGGAGTTCCTCCTCTATTCTGCTATATTCACAGAATTTGTAAAATAGAATTTTTTCTTCTTTAAAATTTAGAAAAAAAAATATTGAAATATATATTTTATAAACTGGAAAAATGAAGATAAATTGTGAGAGTGACAGAACAGAGGTAACTCAAATAATTATTTTAACTAATAATTAAATATTACATCAAGCAACACAGTCATTTTCAATTTGACTTTCTCTTCTATAATCAGACAATATTTCATCAAAATAAAATAATTATAATTTATGAAAATGTATTCTGATAAAAGAATCTATGTAATATGCTGAATTATATAAAAGAACGCTGAAATATTCAGATTAAAGAAATTTTAAAATAAATACTTTGGTTAATTCATTACTCAGCTAGATCTATTCCAAACATTATTTATTTTTTTATTTTACTCTTTACTATTTTACTCGTCCTTGTAAAATTTTGATGCTGCGCAAAAGATCGCAGACAGTAAATTCTTTTTCAAATATGTTCTCTCAACCTTTTTACGGTCAAGATACGGAAACCCTCTGCGAACCCTCTTTGCTGTCAAACATTTATTTCCTCTCTCTCTGGTTTTGGTGTCAAATGTCAACAAAAAGCTAAAACAAATGGAGAGATCAAACCCTTATATTATATAAAATAGAGACGTAAAACTGCGAGGTAAATAGATATCCAACTACTGACGACGTTTGCGTTGTAAAACCGAAATTTATGAGAAGTCGCTGGGAAGGACAACATTAAAAGAGACGAAATCGTTATCTATCTCGGGAGCCGCTATAGCTCGACCAGACAATGTTCAGCTTTTGTCTTTTCCAGCAGCAGCAGCAGCAATAATATTGATGACAGCCCCGGTCCTTGATTTCGTCTCTCTTTCGGCTTCTCCCCGCCAAAGAATTAAAAACTTACTTTGTGTGTTTTTTATGCTCGGCTGGCCTAAATTTTATATGCAGACGCGAGAAAAGAGCGGGAGCTGCTGAAAAGATATTGAGTGTGCAGGTGTCTTGTTCTTATGACCGCAATAAATTAGGAAACTCTCGCAGCATCCACGCAGGCCATTAATAAATACAGCACACACTCAAATACGTCTGCCGACAGCCTACAAGAAAGGATTATTTTTCACCTGTGTGTCTTTCTTTCTCATCTCGCTCGCTTAATTTCCCACTGTTTTTTCTCTCGCTTCTTTTTCTTCTCTCAGCTACCGGCGTTCGTTTTCATTAAAAACAAGAGAGCAGAATAGTTATCACCTTATATAAAAATAAATTCGGAGAATATTAAGAGTGGTTGCCATATCAAGGGTTGACAGCCTTTAGCCCAAAAGAAATCCATCAATTCAAATTAGATTTTTTTTTAATTCAAAGCTTTCTCGGTTTTTTATTTGGAATTGATCGACTTCATGATAAACTAAATTTGGGTTATTTGCAGCCGATGCTCAATATTTTTCTGCTTTAGAGCACTTTAGAGGTAATAAATAATTTAATTAAGATGACGGTGAAAATTGTAACCTATTAAATGTGAAAACTCCTAATTTTTGAACTAGATCAAATATTTTCTTTTGAATAAAATGTCAATAATTTACACTCATTTTTGTTTTACTCGTATTGTCTTAATTTTTTTCTATTGGTTAATTTTACTCCAAAATTCAGAGTTCATCTATACAGAAACATTAAAAATTGTATTTCTGACCTGAGGAAAATAAAAAATAAAAGAGGGTACTTCATTTTTTTTAGCCAACAATTTAAACCAAAACGGGTTTAAATTTAACTCGTCTGAAGAAATTTCTAAATTTTTTCTTTGAATTTCAGTAACGTCATTTTATTTAATTTTCTAACCAATTCTGGTGATCCAGCCTTCCTTCCTTCAGATCTGCTGGCCGAACGTTTGAGTTTGGATTATTCCGTCAGGGAAATACATACATATGTATATGATGCTGGGGCCACACACGGTTCGATATTTGAATTCATTAAATGGCCCTTCGACTCTTTTGCTTAACTCCGCAATAAAATGCTGGGCAGTTTGTTTTAATAGAGCTGCCATTCGCCCTCAGACAGCGATGGATTTTTCGCGATAATGTGTTTTGCTCTGACTGACCAAATGGTAAATTGATTTTTTCTATACCTTGTTTCCAAACAGATCGAACTAGTTTTCCGGTTGTAGCCAAGAAATTTATTAATACATCTCGCTATAAAAATACACACTTAATTGCTGTTGTCAGCACGAGCAAGAGACGAGTTTTTTTCTTAAAATAAAATGAAGAGTTTCGAAACAAAGTTGCTACCTTGATGGAGAAAATAAAAATAATAAAACTGTTGTGAAAAGCGAAGGTCCAACTTCTCTAATTTCTTTTGAAGAGGCGCAACAAAACGTGGGGATTTTTTTACGGGCGCCGAAATCTCAGTTCGTAATTCGAAAAAGACAATGCAAGTCCTTTTTAGAAAATTTAACGAAGCAGGATTTTATTTTATAGCCGCGCTTTTATAGCTGCGAGTGATATCATTTTTTCCAGAGATATCAAAGGCTTTATCTTGTGTGGAGCGCAGCACGCTTGTGACGAGGGGTCAAAGGTCGCATCTGTCTGCGAGTTAGACACATCAGAGCATCAGACACATTCCCACATTTGAAAGATCACACACAGTACGTCCCCATTATCTCAATTAGTCTGATGACCAGCCCCGAATGTTAAAAGGCCACTTAGGTTCACTTCCGTCAAGACTTTCAAAAAGCGAGTAAAAGCGCCAAGAAATTTAGGTAAAAATAAAATTTTGAATTGACAAAAAAAATATACAAACCAAATTTCATTTTCGTTTAGTCTTTGTAAGCTTGTTAATTTTTAAATTCTACACTACAAATGAACGAATATCAAAATCTGATCCTTTTATATCTGTTTTATATTATTATTATTAAACGCTTTTCATAAATTAAGCTGAAATTAAAAAATTAATTTATAAAAAGGTTGGGCAAATGAATGAAGTGAAAATTATTTTAGCTGCTACATTTCTGTTTGCTTTTAAAAACATGGAGTAATCAAATTAAATTAATTAGCCCTGTCAGAGATAAAAACTTCCTCTCTGGCAGTTTAAAAAAATGCGAATGTTTGAGGCGGCGGCTGTGATGCGGGAAAAAAATAAGCCAAGTGGACACATTGTAGGCAAAGGCCACGGCTTCAAATAAATTTTATAGTCGCGTAATTAAGCCAATTTGTTTTATACGATGTTTTAATGGGCGAACATTTGTGCAAGCTGTTCTCGCCAATCTAATATGGCAGCAGGCCGCGTCTTTTGAACTTTGGTCCACCGTCACCTCTTGTGTGTCGTGCTGCGGCTTTGCCACCGCCGCAGACTCGCGGGTTATCGCTAATGACCGCTGATTACAGTCGACTTGTATATCAATTGAAACCGATGCAGACAAGAAAACAAAATGCGATTGCTATGGGTGTTCAATAAGAATATACAAGTGCCCTACTTACAAGAAATTATATTCTCAAATCGTATAATGTAAAAAAAATTAAGAGGAAAAATGAAAATATTTTTCAAATGCAATTTTAATAGGCTATTCACACGGAATTCATATATCAAAATTGGTGCTTGTTAACTAGATTAAGAATCATTGTACACATTTTTTTTAGATTAAACAAAATTTCATCTAGATTTAAACTTTCCTCTTTTTATAATTTAATATAGGATTTTTTAAAGCTTTGCATCTAAGCCTAACAAATTGTTAAAAATAACAATACATATATCTTGGAGGGTTTTTTAGGAGGTTATAATTAATTTAATTAATATGGTATGTCATTTGCTTTGAACAAAATATTATTTTGATAACTTTGATGTTGAGTTTCACTAGATCCCAAATATTTTTTAAGAACTCCGACCCTTTGAGTTGCACCTCTTTCAAGTCTCACAAGTTATTATTTCTTTTTGGTAACACAGTAGCTCTCCTAGTTTTCGTGCACCAATCAATTTTGTCAAGTATCGTCTGTTTTTCGTCCCAACCTTTCTGCCCGTGAAGTGATTGTAGTGATCATTTTCATGGTAGAATGTAATATTGTTTGCTCAAGATAGAATTAATATACATATATATTTTTTTTAATTTTGCCAATTCTATATACTTTTCAACAATTTTCAAATTCTTTTGAATGTTGGAGGCTGAAAAATGTCTGATTTGAGAATTGTCCAAGTTATAAACAATATAATTTTGTAGCTAATTATGCTGAAAATTAAACTTCTAGAGAAATTTATAAAAATATCTTCATAAATTGTAAAAAAAAAATTAGAAACAATGAATCTCTCTCACAATCAGTCGCAGCAGCCTCACCGTTTGAATGGAAGGATTGGATAAAAGGGAGGCGTGGTTTGAGATGTCATTAATTCTGGTGTGCCGCGTGTTTATTTGCCTGGTGCCCGCATCGCGCAGGAGAGAGAAGAGATATCTTTCTACCATTATGTGAGCACCACGATGTCCACTGAATAAATAATTCTCCCAAGCGCACCGCATATCTTCTTCTTCTCTTCGCTGCGGCGGCGACGAACACACATTATTTTATTCCGAACGTATTTCGGTGCAGAGGCTCTGAATAATCTGATCTGGGAGCAGTTCATTTTTATCTCTGTCACTTGATTTCAACGCCCAAAAACACAAACTCGCCGGATGACCGCAGAGAAATTTTTCATCAAGCCTTTGATTTTTGGTAATTACCTTGCTTTCGTTATCGCTCCTCTTCCTTACACACGTGGGAAGGTATTGGAATCGCTTGTTAAACGCGTCATTTTTGTTTTATTATTTTATCAGTGGACAATTAATTGGGATTGTTGAAATTAAATTTTATCAGACATCCCAATAACTGATAGCGCATTTATTAGTACTTTTATATTTTTATTGATTGCTCTTTACTTGCTATGGAGGAAAATATAACTAAAAGATACTTTAGAGGAAAATAGTTACATCCATATTTGTGAATCTTTGACCATGAAAATCTATCAAAATAACATCAATTTTTCTAGCTCATTGTTTATCGGGAATTTCATGCTGGAGAACTCACCAAATGTAGAATGAAAATGCCACGATTATGTTTTATTAAAATTTAAGTAACGCACTATCATTCCCTGGCTAACATCCCTTAACATTTTTCTCACGCTGATGTAAATCATTATTCATGTATTTTACATCAAACTCGCAATAAAAGTAACTGAAAAAAATATGTCACAATGTTGCAGAAATCGAGCCTCTTTGTTGGACGTGCGGGGATGAAAGATTACCGGGTCCTCAGGGATTTGTGTGCTCGGCGACCAGAACAAAATTCAGCAACTTCATCAGCCGCCCCTTATTTATGATTGATTAAAAAGCAGCCTCCTCGGACGGCTTGTCATAATTTTTTTGCTGCCGCATGTAAGAGGATTCAAAATCAATCTGCGAGTAGAGCTCTGGAAAAAAGATGATGGAGCGTAAAAAATAAAGAGTACGGAGAGAGAGAAGCAAAAAGGATGTGTTTCCCAAAATAAACTTGTCACATGAAGTAAAATTTGATACTGATTTTAGAAAAAGGAGAGAGAGAAAAAAAAGACATACTGGCGCAAAACTTAGTGCTGCTGGGATAAAAATAAAGAAGTGCTGAAAATTCCAAGCCAGAAATTAGTGTACCCGAGAGCTGTCATGATCAAGTGGGAAATTTGTGGGTATTATTCATCCCTGCGTTGCTGGGGATGAGGGTGTCATTGTTGCACGACAGGCGCTGAGTGGCGGTCTCTGAAATTTCCAGCTCATTCTATCTTCTCAAAAAAGAAGCCACCCTCTCTATTCGCGCGGCATGACAATACAAATTGCTCAAATCACTCACTAGCAGCCAAAGCTGTTTTATTTGTCACGGCGCGTATATAATAATGATACACTGCCAGCCGCACGCATCTCTATTATTGCTACCATGTTATTAAGCTGCCTTAGCTCGCGGTTTCCGACCCATCAGTTATACTATCGACGGCACCCACAAGATATAGGTATATACATAATATAATGTTTGTTTGCCCAAAAATTTCTATCTCCTATTTTCATCTTGGATTGTAAGGAGCATTCAGGGTCTTATCTTGATAATAATTACAACCGATTCCTTGTTATTTGTAAAAATTGTTTAAAATTTATTAAACTTCATATACCGCTTGTTATGTCCAGTGCCATCATCAAATTATGTTAAAGAGATTTGAGTTAAAAAAAGTAATAAATAAAAGAATTAAAAATTATTTGAAAATAAATTGAAGTAGATTCTTATTTTGTGACTATCAACGTATTTTTCCGTTCGAAAAAACTGAGAAAAATTATTTATATAGATTTGTAAAAACACGATTTCTAGTGCTGCATAAAATTAGGCGATTGAATTCCAATTTAAATTACCATTTTATAAGTGTTCCACCTAATTATTTGAAAAGATTCCAGCTTCTAGATTTTCAATTGTATATTTTTTCGAGTTCATAATAGATAAATAACAATTTTTACACCTCCAGTTTTTTAATTAGTAAACCGTTCTTTTTATTGGATTAAAAAAAAATATTTTAAACAATTTATATTTTCCTTTTCTAATTAAATTTTTCTTAGTTTTGTTTTGATTTATATGCTTTGTATGGCACTAAGCATTTTAAATCTAATTTAACACCATTGAGAATAAATTCGTATTAGTCAGTCGCTCTAATTACTCTCTCGACTTTAGCACCTGATGATTTCTAATTAAACACAAGGATTAAAACACCTTCTCATTCGCTCATAGAATTTCAAATGTCCAGCAGGTTGTGTGTTGCTTTACTGTTTCGGACGATGTAGAAAAAAAGTGACGCCTCTTGTTTTAAAAAGAAAACTATATAGCGTGTGAACATCTCTTGCGGAGACTTTAGCAGGACAAGTCGGGCAGAGGTGTGCTGCGGATAATAAAAGAAAGAAAAGCGAGTGACGAGAAAAAATAACAACAAGCACTGTGCGGAGCCTCAGGAGCAGTACACGCCACTTTGTTAGTGCGGATAAATTGCTGTCCACACATAAGTGGAACACGGTAGCTGTATTACGACTTTTTAGCCCAGCCGTCCACTCACACAGATAATATTTTTTGTTTTCATTTCCACTGCTAATTTATATATATTTGAGAACGGTTGAAAATAATTATTTGCAAACAGATATCAAACTTTTTAAATAAATTCCTCTACGGACGGTTTTATTTTACTTTTTTTTTGTCTCCTAGATCTGGAATTCGGCGCGGCCGGTTGCTGGAAATCAGCGCGAGTCATGTTAATAAATCACCTTCCCCGATTTCGTCCGAGCTCCTTTTTTATTTTCGACTTTTTGCTCATTCTGTAGCCGCTTCGTGTGTTTTATTCTGCGGCTTCTTATCGTCGAAATTAATCTCGGGGGGTTTGACTGGCTGCTGCGGCCGAGAGAAAATAACCAACCAGTCAGTTCGGAGGTTATCTTTACAGTAGCGACTTCTTCTTCTCTCTCGCTTTATTCTTTTATATATATAAGTATATTTTTTAAAGTCTCACTGCTGCCGGGGACGACGGGCCGCTCTTTTATGCAGAGGCGAACCATATTTTATGCGCTTCCTGCCGATAAAATAACCGTGAAAGGGACACCGAAGAAGTGCTCCGGAGCATGCTATCCGCGCGCAGCATCCCCGCGCCTCACCCGCCCGACCTGCTCCACCATCCATCTCGCCACGAGTTTTCGATATCTCGCGCTTCAAAAACTTGTTCTCGTAAACTCGACTCGCCAAATAATTAATTGATCATCATGAAACTTGCTTGAAATCAAATGCCAAAAGCACATGAAATAGCCTCAGTAGTTTAAATATAGATAAATGGCCTAGAGTTAAAATGAAATGAAATTTTAATATTACCACATAAAGAATAAACAAAATCATTAAATTTTTAGCATTTTGCTTAAATCATTAAATCTATTTAATTTTTTTCTTATTTTTTACCAAAAATTCTATGTATTATTTCTTATAATAATCTGCCTTTTCATTCAATTTTTATTTTTTAGGCAATTGTCTGTATTGTTAAATTATATTATAAATAAAATCTTGCGAACCTTTTAGTAATTCAAAGAGACAGCTCTAAATTTTGAAATACATACTATTTGTTAGTTGCACTTCAATTAATTATTGTTAATATACAAAAATTTATCAAAAACTTTAATATTGAAACATAAAACTGCATAAAACATATATTATGTTTGCAGAGAGTATATATTGCATTTTCGCGCGGCTTCTGCCTGGCTCGTTTTGTTTTTAGAGCATTCAAAAAGATAATATATTCCTATTTGGTTCGATTAATTAATATGTTTAAAATAAAATATTACAGTTGGGACGTAAACATTTAAAGAAAAGTGACTTTTGGATGACTATAGAGCAGATTTCAATATGATAACTGCAATTTTGTATTTATTTCATTCCAAATTTGATCAAGTTAAGCTTATATAGTTCCTGCTTTTTTGTGTATTTTGATATATAACATAAAAAAAAATGTGAAAAATTTAAATTCTGTAAAGCAAATACCAGAGTTATTATAATAGTCTCACTAACTTTTGAATCAGAATGAAGAAAAATATCTATTTAAGAAAATAAATAATCAATGTCTAGGTTAAAAAAATAATAGTTTACAGAGAATATGTCTGTATGAAATTAATTATGACTTTGGACGAAATAAATATTCTTTTATGAAGTATTAAACTTTAAGATATATAGTTTTGAATACAAAAATTCTTCTTCTGGGCTCTTAGCTTCTCTTCAGAGGGTTAAATTTCAACTTGAAAAGCGCGTATTTAGCGAATTGTGACACGTTATATTTGTCATCAAAATAAACGAGAAGAGCCGCTTTGCCAAAGTCACAGCAGAGAGTAAGTAATCCGCTTTGTCGCGTGCATGTGTCACTCGCCTATATTTTATGCGTATATAACTGAATTTTCGCGCCGGACAAAAGCTTCGTCAGACGGCTGCTTGTCACTTTCCTTCAGCCGCCAGGAATTATCAATCATTTAAAATATTTATCCCCTATAACCGAATATCAACTTACTTTGCAGAGAAGTGCGGCGGAAAGTCGATAAAAGCGGGAAATAATAGAGAGAGCGCACAATGCTCTCTCCATAAGCAGGGGAGTCAATATTTTCATTTGTGCGCAGGTATATTTATGTCTATATAATACAACGTACCGGAGGGTGCTTTTGCTGTCGTTCTACACTTCACCACCTCTTGTCAGACCGTTCACCCTCCCGTCCCCATTCTCTTCTCTCTAAGGAAATTATTTTTCATCTCGAATGCGCGCCTTTGTTGCGCGATTTTCACGGAGCTGCTAAACTTACTAAACATAAACTGTAGTTTCGCGCTTCTTGAGGAAAAAATATCAAAGTCATTCGCCAAACTGGCAGGCGACTCAGTGTCAAAACATGGAAAGAATCGCTTTTTTGATTTTTTATTCTAAAATCTTGGGGTGCAGTTTTTTCTTTTAGAAAATGATCATTTTCCCTGTTTCACACAAGATAAATGCAATAAATAATGCAGTAAATGTTGTAAACTTATAAAAATATTTCCGAGTATAATCGATTTCAATTATTTTGTTAGAACTTCTTATAATTGTACTATTTTAATGCTGAACATTGCACGAAATCATTTTAATACTGTGGGCAATTATTCATTGATGCCATAAATAATGTAAATAAGTAGAGGGTAAGACAGATTTAATTGTCTTAAGATTTAGCCATCAATTGTCATCTTATAAGTTTTTTTTTGCGCAAAAAAGTTTAATATAATTTTAATTAATTTCTCGCTACATAAAAAATGTTTTGGATACTTAGCAATTTAAGTTTACAATAACACTTAAGTATTTTCATTTGCATATTTTGCAATTAAAAATGGGAACTTCTCATTAAGGGTGCGCTGTGCTGCAGAATTTAAGTATATTTTTATACTTTTGTTTTCTTGGCTACAATTAATGGTTGCGAAGCTGTTTGTTGATTAATGGATCTTGTCTTCTCCTCTCATCAAACTTCGCCACCTTTGCCTGTCTTTCATTGCTGCTCACGTCTGTCAGTAGGCATCATTTAATATTTTAATTACCGCACTCGAAAATCTAGAGATATATTTAAATTATTATTGAACGGATATACTCGCACAAAATAGATTATTTAGCTCACCCTGCACAGCAGAATTTCACAAAATTTAATTGTTATTCTTGAAAATTCCCAAAAATTTCCTTCACTTGGAATTCAAGTTGATGATTGCAAATTTTTTATAAATTGGTTTGTCCTTTTCCCTTATGAACATTTGTGTTAAAATCACTTGAATTAAACACAAATTAAAGCCTTCCTCTGGGCCAATTACTACAATAATTCAAATTATTCAATTACGTTTACTTTTTTGGCAAAGAAGTTATAAACACAGGCCAAAAAGTGAAAGGGAATTTCATGCAAAAACTGACTGAATATAGCTTTTTCATCTTGCTACGTTAATTGTGCAAGTATTTTCATATACACAAGTTAAAAAATTTGGCTGCAAATTTTTTTTTCCAAAAGTGTTGGCAGGTGGATCTGCCTGCTGCCGAGGTATATATTTTGGTGTTAATGCTCAATGCGTTTTACTTTCACTTTTAATAATCGGCACGTTGTTATTTTTTTAAATTATTTCGTCAAAAGTTGCTAATTGAGATCTTGCGATCGAGTGACTTATACACGCGCGTCCTTGAGATTTGCATAAAGCCTCGATGATTACGCGACGCAAGCATCTGCTTTCGCATGCTGTCTCTGCTGGGCCGCGAATCATGAAAAAAGTGACAGCTGTGGCTAAACGCAGCGCGTCAATAGAATAAAATTAATTTTTAAGCGGCCAGGCTTGTTCTCATGACATTTATATTCAATCGACGCTATAACATATCAATTTGAACCGATATTATATTTAAAAAAAAAACCCCCATTTAGAATTTTAGTATTCCTTGTAAATGCTATCTTGGGAAACATTTTCATCAAACTTTGGTTAAAACCCTTTTGAAATTACAATGGGGGACATTTACTAGATGTCCTCTCTGGCTAGCTATGCTTATTACATGTCCCCCAAAATTTTTAACATTATCACTCTGTTTCATATCGTATTAATGAAAGAAAATATATTTTAAATAACATTTCTGAAATAATTAGATCGCACAGCTCAATAAGTTTAGTGGTGTTAAAATGATTGCTAATTTTTTTTAGTGATAGAAAGCCATTCAATATCTATGAAATATCTGAAAATATTTAAAGCCTAAAATCAAATGTTAAACAATTATTTTTTATTAAAATAATTCAATTTTATCCTATTTCTATTGTAGGTATATTTATTGATATTAATAGTTACTAAAAAATTTTATAGAGATTGGAAAATTTAAAAGAAAATATTTTAAACATCTATGTGTATCTTTATTTTTATTGTTATTAGATGTTGAAAAAAATATGCGTGGCGGGTTTGCCTGCTCGAGGGCCGGGCCCCCCCCACCAGCTGGACGCGCCTCCCACACGGCGGTTTGTAGTTGAGCCGGCAGCCGCACTTGGCGCTGGCCGCAGCTTGGATCTCGTCGGTGGTGCGGCGGCCAACAAGAGCGGTGCAGTGGCTCGTAACCTAGGCAACCGGGATCACCATCGCAGAGTCGAATCTGGCTGCATATGCGCGCTACATGTGATTAATTAAAGGTGCACCAAGTGACTAATCACGACGGGAGACGCAAACTCGATGGGAGTGTGTGAAGAGGCTCCGCCGGCCAACACCATGCACTGGGTGAGTCCGACTCGCAATTCTTCAATACATTTCAATATTTTATTCAATTTTTGATCAAGATTGTTTTGCTCAGAAGTCGCGAACGTTGCCGGTAAACAGTTTTTTTTATTTTAATTTAGAGCGAGGAGAAATTTAACTTTTGGAAATTTCGACGAAATTGATATAATAATGTGAAAAAATTCGGTGACCTTAACATTTGGCAGATAACTTCAGTTTTTTTTTTATTACAGATAGAGGGAAAAATGCAAAAAGGAGCGTTTCGCGATAAGATTTTATTGTATTTGACCCTGGTTGCTCTAAAGTTCCACCAAGGAAAGTCTTAAATTGTGAAGAAAAAGAAATAATAACAAAATATTTAAAAAAGGTTTGTACGCGGAAAGTTTGCTTGAATTTCAGTTCCTGTGTGAAATTCAGTTGTTAAGTTAAAGTTAATTTATGATTGATTGTAGCCAGGAAGGGGAATATACAAAAATATTCAAAAGAAAAAAATTTATATTATTTGTAAAATGGTCATCTTAGTTCGAAGCCTTACTGCGGCAGATCGCAGGGGTCTTTTTGTTATTGGAAGTGCTCGGAGGTTCAGTTTCATTTTTGCTAGCGGTGGTGCCGTTTTTACAATAACGATCTCTGTTCTTTCAAACAAAATAATTTTTGAATAATTGCATTTAAACAATTTAATGAATTAATAATTACATTAATGATTCATGATTATTTAGGATCTGTTAAAATATGAACTATTATTATAAAAATTACCCAAGCATAAAAAATTATCAATCAAATTAGAATAATATATTATTTTGCCTTTGCAAAATAAAATGTGTAACGAAAAATGTTGTGCAAGATAAAAAGAGCATTGAAAAAAATTTCGATTCATTATTGTTAAAGTTTAAAAATTATTCTAATTAAGTGTATAATATACAATCAATATAAAAAGCTGCTTTTGAAATTATTTCAGTTTAGTTTATCAAAATTTATATTTTAATTTAAAAAATTTCCTAGCTAAATAATCTGTAGCCATTCAAGTGCTCTTATTATCTCATTGTCAGTTATTTGCAAAAATGCTTTTGACCAGAGCAAGATTCAAATCAAAACGGTTTCCCAACCTCCTTTTAGAATTTTCCAAAATTTGCAAAAATATAGCCACGGAAAATGGAAGTTAAATTTATTAAAATTTAAGAACAATTCAAATTATCATAAAATTTTACCACCAGAAAAAAACGTTTAAAATTTATCTTTTTCTATTAAAACTTATATTTTTTAACTCATAGACATAATTATTAGATTTCCAATGAAAAAAAAAACCTCTTGGTGTCTCTGTTTATTATAATTTTGGTAGCATATAAAATCATTGATATGTAGTAAAAAAATGAACTTAATAACTCTTTTTACTGACAATATGAGATGGTGCTGGAAATTTGAATTGTTTGCTCATTTATTTCGGACTTGCTTTATCAAATTTTGTAGAACAACAATTATACAAAGTTACCGATCTAAATTTCTGATAAATTTCTAAGGTTTTCGGCGTTATCTTTTGGAATTGAACGGGCAGAGTCACGAGGATCGCTAGGTGTCGGTTGGCGGTCGCGACTGGCGCCGCCGCTTGCCTTTTCGGAGCGCCGGCCGTCGGGGCGAGCGGAGGGAAAAACCAAAAGAGCGAAATTGCTCGGCCGGAGTTTCATAGCCAAGGACTTGCCTTTGTCCCTCGAGCTCTTTACAGCGCTGTTTAATGGTTTATTAGTCAGGCCTGCTTAGAGACAAAACGCGCATCGGACACGCATTTCGTTCTCGCGCCGCTGAATTTCAATCCGCGGCTCGCTGCCACCGCGCGGGCCTCGCCCGCTGCGATCGACACACACAGATCGCAAGGGACACTCGATGTGCCGAGTAATTATTTCGATTTTCCTCCACTTGCTGCAAAACTATTGAGTCTTTCAAATGAAGTAAAGAACGATCGGTTGGCAAATAATAGTGCGCGGTTGTTCGCATCAGTTAAAATTAGTTTTCCTTCATTTGCTCTTGATTGTCTGATTAAAATAAAATAAAGTTCAATTGATTTTTTTTAAATGTTTTATTCTGAAGTACTTTTATTGTTTAAAAAGATTTATTCTTGTATTTTTTTTTACTATTAAAATTTATGAAAGTTGGCGCGGTGAATTCAAATATTTCAGTTTTCTTTCCTCTATAACAAAACTTCATCTTAAAAGTGAAAACATAATATTTAAAATAATAAGAGTTAAATTAATAAATTATAATTTATTGAGGGCCAAAAGATTTTTGTAATTAGACAGGAGCTCAAATTTTGTTTAGGCTATTTTTAAACCAAATATCGTTTGTACTGGGAAGTATATATTATTGTTGTTGCTCTGCATCTCTTTCCCTTCAATTGTCAAATGAGGATGATACTCCTCTTATTAACACGTGTGTGAGAGTCGTGCCGTATAAATAAATTGTCACACGAATTACGAAGTGCGCGAGGTGTGTTTGATTGACGAGAGTGGTGCGCCGCGAGTGGAGAGAGAGAGACGGACCTCCGCGCCTGTCTGCCCGAGAGTCCACCACCCGCAGAGCACATGGACCGCGCATGCAGCATTGATTGTGCACGCTGGCTCGCCAACAATGCAACCCCTAACTGTTGTTGTATCAAAAATACACAGAGGCAACGAGCGCCCTGCTGCACACAAGAGCAGAGTTTGCTTTCAGCTGCTCCTCTGTGTCTGATGCCCATTCAAAAAGTGTGGAGTACACGAATGCTATTTGGTTGTAGTACACGCTGCATTTTCAAAATTCATGCCAACTGTCGAACCACCGCGGTGACGCCGAAAAATAACCGCATTTTTCACGCCGGGAAGTATTTTTTGTGTGACTAATGCAATGTTTAAATGAAATAAAGGAAAACGAATGCATCAATTTTAAAAATTGGTCAAATATTAATAAGATTAAAATTTTATTAAATTATTTTAAATTAATTAGCTTCGCATCTTGTGAAACAGATTTTTTTTTAAATTTCCTCCATGCTGAACATAATTGTATGTTAGTATGCAGTGTATGTAATTCCATCATAAAAATAATTAAGCAATCATCTGAGGGTGCCCATCTCCTCTCGCTATAAATTATAAATATGAAATCGGCTCTCTCGCAAACAAGTATATTTATTTTCAAGACTCTTCAGCAGAAGAGTTGCCAGTCATGTTCTCAACAAATAATCAGCTTAATTTCTTAATTGAAAAACAACAACGCAGTTTTCACGATTTCCACCCAAATGTTATTCCGCGCAAAAACAAATATTACGAAATTGTTTAATTAATTTTTAAGGAAGGAAAAGCCAATAAATATAAAAAAGCAACGTTTTTCTAAAAAAGACCATCGCGAGCAGTCGTGCTTGATTGGATTTAGTAATTTAGCACGCGCCGCATACATAATTTCAATGCACATATCGCCGACAGCACTACACGCGACCATTATATTATTTAATCGCCGTGTGTTTCTGCTGATTGATTTGCTGGCATAATTAATTATCATGTGTGCAGAGTTGTGCCGCGGCAAATTAGCACTTTATGGCTCTTTCTCCGCTTTGCATGTACCGCGTGGCAAATTAGCGCCTGCTATTAAAGACAAATTATAATAAACACACTCAATCTGTCAAGTTCGCGCTTTATCAACGCGTTAATTAGTCTCGTCCGTTTCTGTGAAAAACGAACTTTTGGTCATAATTATAAAAGTAGGAAGTATTTTGAAGAAGATAACACAAAATTTTGAATGAAAAATAAGTGGATGTGAATGAGAACAAAATGCAATTCTATAGTGAACCACGTAGGTTGAAATACCCCTGGACGGAGTTGTTTTTCTTGAAATTTCCAGCGATAAACTGCAGGTCGGCCCCCGCATATGTTTATCTTTAGAATTCCTTTTGCATGTCCCACCGCGTATAATTGAAATTTTATATGCGACTTCCTCTTTTTTGATGAGATAAAAAAGCTTGCAGTGGAAAATGTTTTCTTTTCCAGAGCATTTTTTTTTCAGATTATTGACCTTATTTATTTGTGCCAGTGTATTTAGCCCGACCATGGAGAGCAAGCAGACCTATAAATGATTTGCGAAAACGGGAATTTTGCTGCGAGGCCAATAATAAATGTTTTGGGCGCACACCTGAAGGCTAAAAGCTTGGAAAATTATATCAGCAATATATTTATGCTAATTCGCTTCCTTTAAACTGTTTATTGCATTGGTGCCAAATACTAGCTACAGAGCTTTCCACAAATAAAGGCAAAACTGTTGAATGGCAATTAAATTCCTTCAAAAACCAATACGACATGAAAAGATTTTGTTTAAATTTGATTTTCCATGGATTGTGTTGTAATCTCTACGGCTACGAAATTATTGTTTCCTAATTTTGACTACAATTAATAAATGAAAAGTCGTCTATTAAAGTATAAATTTTTAAAATTCTTAAGGAGAGTCCCTCCGCAGTTATGGATTTTAATTTTTTTAAGGAAACAAAATTTCGCGACTGAAATCGAAAATTATTAATAGATTTAATTTTTTTCCATTTTCAAATTTAGCAAAAAAATTTCATATTATTTTAATTGTATACTTATTAATTTAAAATTCTAGAAATTCTGCCAGCACTTAAAAATCCCATTATATTTTTATGTTTGAAATATTTGATTTCTTTTGGCCAGAATTTTTCTTATTTATACTATATATTTCAGTTCAGAACATTTTGGCACTGTTTTGGAAGAGAAAGAGACTCCGTAAGAAGCGAGTTGCACGTGGACCGGTCAGCCGGTCTGAGTCGAAAAATCGGTTTATTGTTTTCGCGGAATTGTCTCGAGTCGTCGGCTGCACAATATTTTTATTGCGCCCGGGTGCAATACGCGAGACGCGGCGGCGGTCAATCAATGCCTCCTCCTCCTCGCGAGTTGCTCATTGTTTTATGACGCGCTTCAGGTGAAAATTACACCGAGCGCGTACATACTTCTCTTGCTCGCGGCTATTACTCT